ATGTCTTGGTCAGAATATTTCGAAATTACGATATTCCGATGGGTGCCTATGTTCCAATTATCAAATGACCACAAATACTCCAAAAATAGCCAAAAGCCGAAACTGGACTTATCAAGGTCACACGAAGAGAATGCAACCCAGGTATGTTATAATTAATTGCCGAACGTTTTACCCCGATATCACTGGCACTGTCCATATAACTGCATTAACTCTAAGAATGGATTTGTTGCATATTCTTGGTCCAAAATTGATCTGGGGCGGGATTAAGGTCAAGTTGGTTTATATTTCTGACTCATATTTTCCTCCATTCTTGGTCTTGATTGACACGTAATCGATGGAGAGGCGACTAGCATCTGACCATCTTGCGTCACAACACTGCTTTTAGACCGTGCTATTTAAACTGTCAACTTTCCACTGTTTCAACCCGGAACAGTAAAAGTCATTTTACCTGTTTCTCTCATCTTATGGCCAAAATTGAAAGTACGAAGCATATTTGATTTATTTCTGTCGTTTCATTTTTGCCTCCCCTGCTGAGATTCTCTCACCTTTCATACGTGAATGAGTCCCAGGTAAGATTACCTTTTCTTACAAGTTCTGTAGTGCTCGGAGAGTTAAAGCGGCGGAAATACGTCGAACTTTATGTCATTCCGAATGTACAATTTGATTCAGCAGAAACAGAACCACTTGATAAAAGACATTTTATAAAATATCATTCTCAAAACGTATTTACTTTTTTTATGTAATTGTTTAATAGATAACAGCCAGGCAATAGGATTCAAGAATACTAGAATATTCGAATAAAAGTAATTATGTATTTGCAGTAAATTTGGATTGACGTAAGATTTTCTGTACCCGAGATGTCTATTATTCAAATTGTTCTTACTGGAAGTAGATCTTAGGTCTGTGTGAGGTGGGTGCGTCCACCAAAACAGTACTATTGTGCACCATGTATGCGTTATAGCCCACTATCCAGCGTTAGGCTTTTTATGTTCTATTCGTCCAAAAGTACAGAAATCTTCTTAGGAGTATGTCGAGGTCCTTTTACTACCTATCGCAAGGCAGTTACATAGGATATATCTGTTGTCTGTCTCTTCTAGACATAGTAGACATTGGCTAAATTTTTTAAGTGGTATTTTACTTGAGCATGTCCTACAAAAATACCTACTAGGGTTTTTAATTCCTTTCTATTGATAAGTATCTACACTTTCTCCAGTTGGGTTGTTTTTGTATGATATTTGCTGTGCCTCTATTCCAGTTCTTACGTGGGTTTTATGCCACAAATGTGATTTGGACCTATGACTTTTTCCGAGGCACCATTTTAATTTTTAGGCTGGATACGAATGAGGTAAGATTATGTTTAGAGTAGGATTATGATTAAGGATGTTAGGTAGGGTTAGAGTAAGAGATGAGTTAGGTTATGTAGAGTAGGGTTATGGTTAAGGAAGGTTAGGTTAGGTAGGATTAGAGAAAAGTTATGGTTAAGGACGTGTTAGGTTAGGTCAGGTAGGAAGGTAAAATTATATTTTTTTTAAATTCTTTATTTGCAACTTGTTCTAGAAAGTATGCAGGTAATTGAAATATCATAATATTCTAGTTTAAATACTACAATTAAATAAATAATTAATTAAAATTATATAAGGCTGAAATTTTTTTGAAATTATTAATTTTACAACAGGAAAGAGAAGGAATACACGCGGAGGGCCGGCGATGACCTCAGTGTTATGGTTAAGGAAGTGCCCTGTACAGTTTTTCTTCTTCTTACCTAACTTCTAATCTTTACCACTAAGCCTTACATTTCTTGTACATATTATTTCTAACTATAATCGACCGGTTCATGACTTATTCGCGTTTTTTTTTAATTATGTCGTTTGAGAAAATTTTACTTAAAATTTGGTGGGAAGAATGATTACACACTCCAATTATCGGCGCATCTTGTGTAAACAACCCCCTAATCTATCCCCAACTGCTCTAATTCTGTCGAACTTTCAAGCCGTTTTTATAATCTATAAAACAGTAATTGTGAAATAAAAGAGTGATTATAGAAGTAATAAACATGAAACATTAAGAATAAAGTAAACAGAAGAAAACTCGATAATGATGAAAATTAAATTGAAAGGTTGTTTTTATATACTCATTTCTCATCATTATTTGACAAACGTCTTCTTCGGAAATAATTGGTGATTTAGTCTCTTTGCTAAAACGTGCGCCAGTATTTCGTTACATAGCCTTATATAGAAACGTGAATATTGCTGCAACCTGATAGATCTCTTGATGAAGTAACTTATGAGCACTCTCGGATGGATGAATAGCAATTATATTTACCATTATTCATATCTGATAACACTTGCCTACAAATGGATTGATAGTACAAATTGGTAAGATAAATACCACGGTGATCAAATTAAGATGTTAATAATATTCCTAAATATACTTTTTTTGCACACCGGTAAACAGTCAGCATTAAACTTCAGTACCAACAATTAAAGGTTTTGATAAATAAATTTTCTTTCCGTATATCTATTGGGCCTTGGGACCTGTCGCAATTCAAAAACAATCCTGGTTCAAAGGGAATGTAGTGCACCGGCTCGGCAGAAGAAGATCAGTAGATACTACTACTATAGAAGTATAAAGTCTCAGAACCATTGGGATAACGACATCCTCCATTTCAGAATGCGTCTACAAAGACTACAATAGGAATAGTTCTGTGACACTTCAGAGAAATAGAGCTTCACACTAGAAGGCCAGGACAGGGTTGACCTACAGACAAGAGAGACGATAGGTTTATCCGTCATCAGGCTCTACGAAACCGCAGCATTACGGGAAATGAGATAAGCAATCTGATAAGACAAGTCCGAAATGTTTCGATTTCCTCCAGGGAAAAAGAAGGCTCAATGAAAATAACCTCGGGGCAATGTCGTATGGAGACGCTCAGAAGAAAGGTACTCTCCATGCGCAGTATGGTTCCTCAGGTGGTAATCCATGGTGGGTCATTGATGTCGTGGGGTGGCATTTCCTTGGTCGCCCGCAATACACGCTAGAACATTATCTTTAGTTGCCTCCCCTCCATCGCTTCTCGAGCCTCCGCCAAGCGGTTTAAAGACCAAAATGTTTGATTCTGTCATATTTTTATAATGGACGAGTTAGAACCTGTAGCTCTCTGGCATTTAATCAGACGAAAAACAAGTAAAAGTAGAATAATGTGGGTTCACCCACATCTCGTCGCGCATTTTCTTTTTAAACTTTATCCGCATAATCGTGGACAATGTAGTTTCCAAGCGTGGGATTTTTTGAACTTAGACCTGAGAAGGGCTGATAAAAACAGCTTAATTTTAGCACTGAAAAGGACTGATTGTAATAAAATTTGGACATGTCAGTCGAACGCATAATGACATTCTGAATAACTATTCTCTGGAAAAAAAAGCAGAGAGAGAGAGAGAGAGAGAGAGAGAGAGAGAGAGAGAATGAATGAATGAATAGTTTATTAACCTGAAGCTTACATAAGACCATAGGGTCCTCTCTTACCGAAGTCAGGAAACTTAATGTTAACATTATGTTTTATTCAGCTCTAACAGATAATTATATCAATTTATCGTAATTTCTTAATTATAATTTTCATTTTTACAAGGTGCCTTTCTAATTATGGCTTAAATATAACAATGATAATTTAATGTNATACATTGAGCATGCATTTATAAAAATAAACCAGTGAAGATCAACAACAATTCTACTTTTGATGGTATTGATATTCCAGCAATAACAATGATCAGACAAAACTTTATTTACTTTATTTATCGTGCCAAAAATCGAAGCTGTGTTAGTACAAATTAAACATGAATTTTCAAATGAAATACAGATTACTAGTTTATTTTGTTGTGAAATTTTTGTGGCATTAGGTATCGAACCCGAAACTTCACGAAGTCACGATAGCTCAAGTGGTAGAGTAGCGGCATATTAAGCCGAAGGTCGTGGGTTCGATCCCGCTCGTGACACTGACTTTTTATGTCAACTTAAAAACCTTAATTAATTGAATGTTATTAATTGGTCAAGCGGACCACGAAAAATAGTGAATTTAATTATATTTCTGTCGTGTAAACAGTCTAAAACTTGAATAATTGACTCTGGATTGTCCGTTTTTAATGTAGGGGTATTTTATATATATTTTCCTAAATAAAACGAAATTTGTCCGACTTTTAATTTATGCCATCGTGTTATAGCAAAGTTCCTGCAGATAGGATTTGCATTTGGATTTGCATTTGTATAGGGAATGCGCCCATATGCGTACATAAATGCAAAGATGTGCCGCTACCGTCTTCCACAGCTTGCATGGATAATCCAGGCGTATCCATTGAATTAATATAAACTGCTAAAAAATAATTAAGGATATTTGTAATTTACTCTTATTCTATTAATTTCAATTAAATTAACCGATATATTCTTGTTAGTTTGGATAAAACAAAATAGAAACTACAAACCAAAAACAAATGAATGTTAATCCTCATTTTTAATAACAGATTTACTTAAGAATAGTAAAGATGACGATTTTAACAAACACCTTTCCTCGTGTTTTCACCATTTTAATCCAGTTGTATTCTCTCTTTTTTTTAAGTCCTCGAATGCAGACCTCGCGGAAATTTTTTGTGAATTTTAATCAGAAAAAAAAACATGAAGTAGCCAACGTCCGAATTAAAATAAGTACTAATAACAATTATTGACTAATTTAATTCAATTATAATACAACTAATTATATCTATAATTCNTCTCTCTCTCTCTCTCTCTCTCTCTCTCTCTCTCTCTCTCTCTCTCTCTCTCTCTCTCGCTATAGTTAAAACTTTTTTAATATTCTAGAGAGATGTATCTATCCGTGCGACTGTTACTTACTGAAATATACAAAATGAAAATTTATTTTTGGTGTTATTTTTTATTTATTCTCGTTACGTGACGTAACGCTCCAATCAGTTAAGACCGTTAGTACGATTGTTATCATGGTCTAATATCGTCAATTGTTTATATCGTTATCGGCCCGTAAGGTTGTCATGTGGTAGTTACCAATCTTCAACCCGAATCCCTTCGCAGTTCTATTAGTACTAAATACTCTGATTTTTTTCGACTACAAGGACAAATAGCGACCTGCCTCTGCCCTATAATTCAAAGAACTTTATTAACATGTCTCAGCTTATCGAAGGTGTCGCCAATGAAGTGATTTTATTGTTTTCGACGATAATAGCTTTATTTTTCGCTTTTCTATACTCTCTCTTGTTATACTTCAGGTGATGCCAGCGTTTTTTGGCATTTATCATAGCATTTTCGCATTATGTTAACCGTCTTATTTTTTCCAGGCCCCTTTTGGCGGAAGAAGATCTAGATGGTAACCCTTTCTATTTTAGACTATTTTCTTATTTTGTAAATTGTTTATTGTTTTATGATTTGCTATAAATCATCCATAGTACCATTTAATTACCACTTAATTTTAACAAATTTAATACACTTTATACATTCAGTCTAAATTAAACCTTAAAATGGCTCACAGCTAGCATAATGCGAGGGATTCCATTTTCACTAACAAATGTAGGGTAACAGTGTAATATGTATCAGGATCAAAAACCACTGAATGTTATATTATTTTTATTTATACAATCACAAACACAATTTGCACAATACCACTCTCCTAAAGCCTACGGCGTACTGTCCTTTGTCTTCCCCTTCTGCTTTTATCCCTTCACTCATTCCAACACTGAGGAGTGGGGCCTTCTCCGGACTATCCTTGTACCCTTGAGTCGGGGTACCTTACACAAAAAAGTAAAGAAAGAACACTATTACGGTAAGTTTCCGGTCTTTTCCCACCCAGACATCACTATTTTGCATATTCTACCTATTTTATTTATTTATCTGTAGTTGTGAGGAGCGTTTCAGCTTTTTACCATCTTCACTGGTCAGTTTGTCTGTACTCTTCCATTTCTTCACATAAGAAACTCGAATGGTGTAAGTTTAAAAAAGTTAAAGTAAGTTTGATTGGAAGCAACCAGGCTACAAGTTACAAATGTTTCCACAAGAAAAATAATTTTACATGGAAAGCCACATGCATCTTATCCTACTATAATACTTCCCTTCCATTTCACAATGTCGACAGATCATCGGCTAAGTCAGACGAAGAAAAAAGCTTCACTCAACACTGACATGATAAATTCTGTACATACAGGAACCATAAAAAAGTAACTAGTCCAACCACTACTTTTTCCCTTCCTTCAAAAGCTTTTCGTCCTTCAGAAATCCTGTACATCATCGAAAACACCCAAAACAAAGCTCCTGGATATGACCTTATAACCTTGATATCCTTCGATCGCTTCCTAAAAAAACAATCCTCTTCCTAACATACCTATGTAATGTCCTAAGAACTACACACTTTCCTGAAAACTTTCATTATAAAACTGATCTCAAAGCTCCATTTACCTCATTCCTATCACCCAATAAGCCTCTTACCTATTCTAGGAAAAATCCTCTTCTGAAAATCCTTCCCATCTTAGAAGAATAAAATATTGTCTCACTAGTTTGGCTTCTGTAAATATCACTCCACATTCCAGCAATGCCGCCATGTTGTAGACACAATATTTTCCTCTCTTGAGCTGAAACTTCTCGAGCGTTTTCCTTGAAATGGCGTAAGCATTGATAGGGTCCGGCAACCAGGTTTGCTGTGCAAGCTTAGGAGCATCCTTTCCTTCACCTACTTCCTCATATTCTGATCATAACTGACTGACCGTTTTTTTCAGGTCGGCCAGGGAACATTCTCTGATTTCTATCTTATTAAGTCTGGAGTCACATAGGGTAGAATCCTTGGTTTTAACCTTTATTCAGTGTATATTGCTGACCTCCCCATTCAACATACCCATCGACATATTTTGTGGATGTTACTGGCTATCTTATCATCCAATAAAGATCCCGTCCTCTCACATCAATCCCTACAGGCTCACGTATTCAACATAGAACCTTGGCTGATATACGAGATGATAATTAAACCCACTTGGACAACATTGAACTGTGTGTGGGGTTCAACCAAACATTCCAATCATCCAGATTTACCAAACCGAAGTCCTCCGAAAAATAGTAAATGCTCCCTTCTACGTATCTAACCACACAATCCACCATGACCTTAAACACGCACCTTGGTACTCTCAACACGAGAGACAAGAATGACATCTACACGGAAAACAAATGCTTTGAGCCCTGAAGATGATCTCAATCAAAACATTGGCACGATAAAGAAAATGTTTTTCTAAAACCTACATCACACCAGACCTCATCTCACGACCTCCAAACAATAATTAATGACCTTAAAATTCCTTTTGCCAAAGATGTCATAAAATACCGATACATAAAATACCACAAATCCCTTTCATTACACCCCAATCCCTTAGTTTTAAACCTGTCATCCCAAACTATCCTCAATAATCCCCCAAGGAGATTAGAGCACAAGACCTATTAGATGTGTCACACTCTAAGTGATTCTTCGCACCCTATTACCAGACGTTTACAATTTTACTTGTAGTATAACAAATACAATTGTTAAAAAAATCATGGAAAGCCGGTGTAGTCTGTGGCATTTTCACAATTTATGTTTGTTAAAATTATAGTTTTATAGTTTTTTTTAACCTATTGAATTTTAATTCCATGTTGCTATTTACTCACATGAAGTATATGTTGAACCATGTTACATTTACATTTTGTCTTTTGACTAGATTGTCTTTGATTAGAAATTGAAAGTAATATATCATCACTGAATGTCATTAGGGGTCAAGCCATTTGATAGTGTAACTAGGTGCCTCTTGGTTAGGAAGCTGAACCAATTGGGCGTGCATGCATCCCTTGCTTGGCTGGATTAATTCTTTTTGGTCTAATAGGTCATTCACAGTTAGATTTAATGGTTTCCTCTCTGAGATAATTGAGATCGACTCTGGTGTCCCCCAGAGATCTCTCTCCGGTCATTGTTCTCTATTTTTTTCTTTTTTTAATGTTACTAGCTGCTATTAGGATGATCTTAATGCATTTGTTCATCAGTGTGAACACACCAACATGCTTAGGGTGAATTACGAAAAGTGCAAAGTTTTTGTTTTTCAAAAAGGAGAACTAAGAATAAAATTAAACGAGGTTATTCTATTGAGGGTTAGCAGATGGAGGAAGTCTCTAAGCTAATAGAAATCTGTGTAATTCTTAACGATTAATACAACTTCCGTTACATCGAAGTTCAATATAACATCGAAATGGTTCTAAACAAGTTTTTAAAATACTTTGCTTGTAGATGTTATCAATTATGATCTAATAACAAAAACGCTGATGGACAAAATAAATGCACCACCCTTTAATTTTACTCTATTAAGGTTTATTCATATTTTTCATATCAGAACTAGGTTAGGTTGTATAAATAAGACATTTAAAAAGACAATCTTCAGTACCTAATTCATACAAAAAAATTATTGAGTAAAGAACAACAAAAAAGTGAAAAACAAATAAAAATGTAAAGAAAAAACTTTTTGTCCCCTTTAATACTGAGTATTTCCACCTCTGGCACGAATCATGTTCATTAAATGCCTTTACATTCTTTGGAAAAGATTTCTGACAAAATCCTGAATAAATAAGTAAATATGTCAGATTCGAACCGGGGACTTTTATATTAACATCTAAACAGTTGCGGCCATCGATGCTCCTCCAAATGGGTTCAGTTGGGTTCAAATTTGGACCTCGAGCTGGCCATACGAAGTACTCAATTCCAACCTTATTCAGGTAGTCATCCACAATTTGTGCTATATGGGGTCTGGCATTATCCTGCATTAGCAAGAATCTCTCACCGATGTCTGGGGCAAATGGCACTACATGTTCTTCAGTTATGTGGCAATTTCACACTGGCTGTATCCTTCCTCTAATAATGTTATCACCCTGACACTCATACTCCAATGCCTGACTGGAGCTATTAAAAAAAGAATAAGAATAATATCGAAATCAACTATGAAAAAAGATTAACTGAAAGCAATCTTTAGGCATTGCAGAATGGAAGGGCACAATGCTCTATTTGTGCAAATGGGATTAATCAGTACAAATGAAAATTAAGGAAGAAAACAAAGAATTATTTGCTGTTTATTTTGACTACCCAATTACCTGTAACTAGTGAAGAAAGATAATTGATTTATCATCATCAATGGAGCCTTTAATTTTAAACTAAATAAATTGAGTGGTGTGTTTAATGTGTCCTACATTGTATTTAATTAATCAAACCTTTAGAGATAAGGAGAAAAATTCTTGATTCATCATTATTAAATTCATTTTTATCAATCTAGTCTGTACTAGCATTTTAAATATAATTTAATAAATAAAAATAAAAGAAGTAGACATATTTAAACTATTTACTATTGAGTTTTCCAAATATAACTAAATTAAATTGAAATATTGAAAAAAATTGAAATAAAACTAATTTAAATTAAACAATTACATATTGACCTATTTAATTCTTCTTTTAGATATTTAAAGAAAACTTTATCTTGATCAGTAAAGATTTACTTAATGTTATTGTTCTTTTGTAAATCCATCAAATTGACCATGTTCCACCTTTATAAAGATTGTTTTACATTCTTATTTTGATATTTTTTTATAGAACTGGAAAATGATCAGACTCCACCTCCAATACACAATCGGCACATGTGTCCGGTCTGCCGTGGTCAGCACAGTTTCGCCCTAGAAACAGATTGTGGTCATTTATACTGCGGAAACNATATATATAGAAATAATGTATATGTATAGAAATAGAATGTATATGTATATACATTTGAGAGGTGGAGTGTGAAAGAAAATTCCAGGGGGGACGGTGGGAATTGTGCCCAGAGCCTTTCATAACCTAATGCTAACTACAGGGCTACCGTGATCCCTGGGAGTGTTTGTGTGTATCGTATTCAAGATTTTCAAGGATAATGAGCTGAAAATAATTTTACCCTTTACAAACAGATTTACTGTAAGACTTAATTAAATTAATACATCAAGCAAAAACATCCTCAAGACTAAAAGATTTGTACATACAAATTAGTACTTAGAATTACAATTACAATTACATTTTAGTACTTAGAATTACAATTACAGGAAAATAGAACATCCTCCTGGATAGATGACTTTTATATAGGTTTGTTGACATATTAATTTATTCTTATTTACTAAATTATTTCTGTATATTTGTTTAAAATTTTTATATTTTAATTGTTTTTACTTTTTATTCTAGGGCCTTGTTTAATGGCATGTTATGAAAGAGATATAAACGCACCATTTAGCGGAATTAAATGCCCATTGTGCAGAAATCAGGTAATAATCCTGTTATTATTTATATTTATCATAGATAATACATATATGTAGAAAATGTTTATAAACCAGCACTAAGTACTTTTCTGAAAAAAATTATTTAACTTGTCATCATATTAAGGTAGAAAGGCTGGTGGTATTGTTGTTTAAGTAAGTTTAAGCACTAAGTACATTTGAGGAGAGAAAAACTAGCCGGCAAATACCTATCAACAAGATTAGCAGACAGCGAATACCAATCTGTTCAAACCGAGAATCAATGTGCGTCCATACAGACTGCAACAAGCCAATGATTTTTTCACCCACGGACATCATCCCGTGGAAGCTCCAAAGTAGTTCTCCTAAAGTAATTACGTCACATAGAGACATGTTAGGAATGCCAGAATCAATCATTTGTTGCCTTGAAACAGGAAGATGTCCTGATGCGACCCAATATTGTATACTGACGGATCAAAATCCCCCAGAGGAACTGGAGCCGCAGTTCTAAACATTGCAGACAACTCCACAATTCAAATTAAACTCCCCCAGATGTGTTCTAGCTATGCAGCCAAAGCTGTGGGTATACTGGAAGCCGTCAACTATATAGCGAAAAACCCTAATCAAACGTCCATAATTCTAACGGACAGCCTTAGCGTATTATCAGCGGTTAGAATCGGTCATATGAAGGACCCATTCATCACATCAATCAAGCAGGGGTTGATGGAATTAGACAACAAGAGTATGAATGTATTTTTAATATGAGTAAAAGGCCATAGCAATAACAAATACAACAATCAAGTTGATGTTCTAGCAAAAGAAGCTGCCAACTCAGGAATAGTAAAATCAGGGGTAACAGCTTCCGGCGTAGTGGCATACCTCAATAATTGAATTAAAAATTACTGGTAAAAGGAGTACAATTCTTCCGAGACAGTAAAAGGAAAAGTACATGCGAGTATCCAGCCATTAATCCCACACAAACCATGGTTCAGTACGGTCAATTACCACCAATTACCAATAGACCACATCTTTTTATCCTGCCATCCAACCACAAAATACAGAGATCAATTGTATTCTGCGATTTTACAATGCGGCTTGTTCTTACCTACTAGAAGCAGTATAATTTTGAGTAACACAAACTACCCCTTTATCAGAAATGATATATACCATTTCATTGTGGCTAATGGTTTAGTAATTTAATCACGGAGATTGGAGTGTAGTATGGGTCTCTCCCACACTATTCACCTTTGATATGGCAGATGTGAAAACACAAGGCAAAAAAAAAAGTTTTCAGTACCTTTCAGTAGTTTATTAAAGGGAAAAGGTATATTGTCCGTATGAAAATTTTTACAGTTGATTATATTTCAAAAATATATATATATAAAATTACATATATGTATATAGGAATGTAATTTTACCATCAGTTGTACTAATTTTTATATTACTGAAATAAATTATGGACAGAATATTTTTATAATTAGACCATTTTTGTGAACTCATCACAATCTTTTATCGTCTATAAATTCAAGTTACTAGAGAAAATTACTACTTCAAAACAACATAAATGATTTTTGCTATTTTTCATTTATAATAATAAATTGTAATTAAATCTAAATTAAATATTTAGTGGTCTATTGACCAAATTACTTTATCTTTTTATGTAAGGTTTTAGTTGAAATAAAAAAGCTAGTGTCACAAGCTGAATTTGAACCCTCGACCTTAGGCTAAATACGCTGCTGCTCTAACCACTTCAGCTATCATGACTTGGAATAATCGAAATTATAATAAATAAATTTATGTGATATGCATTCCAGGTGAGCCTACTTTTTGTATGTTTCACCCCTGAAGAAAGGAGTTATACATCCTGGTCCGTTAACGGCAGTGAAAGTCTTCAAATACGCAGTTTTGTAAGGAGCTACAATAATTATCACTCGACAAGATCTAGAACGGTATATTTAAAAATTATTATTTTCATTTTTTCTATCCTCTCCGTTTAATATAAGCAAAAATTTACTCATCAACGAACCTATCCTAAAGTACCCAGACTTTACTAAAACATTCCTTTAATAGAAATGATAAATGATGGAGTGAGTGTGATGTTCAATCCTTTTTAAAAAGATAGTTCGTACTCACAGTAAGTTGTTTTGCAACGATCCGGATTTCGAGCCCTTTAATTTGAAATTAAAAAATGTAAAATTGAGCATGGTGATAAATGCATTAATAATATAATAGATTTTGATCTACCTCCCATTTTACATATGTACATAAATAATATCAAACGTCCAAATAATTAAACTAATTATTTTAATTGTTATTATTTTTATAGTAATTTATTAATATTAAGTATTTACTAGTATAATATTTATTTGTGTTATAATTTCCACGTTTCGCACGTTCAAATTGAGCGCCATTAAAAAAATCAGCTGCTAATTGGAACGTCGCGTTGGTGGAGGGATCAGCGGGTTCACTTTGGCAATTCATGTCGAGAGACGTGGTTGTAGAAGTCCTTCAATCTGATGATGAGCTAAAAGGCTCGAAATCCGTATCGTTGCAAAACAACTTACTGTGAGTAGGAACTATCTTTTTAATGAGGTTAGTTTATCATGCAAGAGAGCTCACATTTAAGTTGTGAGATTTTGTATCTTACAGTACTAAACGTATGATAAATGTTTCACTAATGTTTAAATATTTACTTATTTATTTATTTTTAAATTACTAATTATTCATTAGAACAGAAAGGTTCTGAACTTTGTAAGTCTGTTTCTTTCGCCCCTTTCCTAGGCCACTTAATATTAGATAAGTGTATTTTAGGTTGTGTATTAAAATGTTGGGGTTTAATATTCCCAGTCTTTAATTTTTCTTTGATTTCTACGAGTTCCTCTGGTTTATACTTATTTTTTAGTTTACTCTGTTTCTGTCTGTTTTTCACATAAACCATTTTTGGAAGCATTCCTACATTAGGAATTTCTTCTCCAGTTTTATTTTGTTGACTGATTACCTTTTCTGTAGCAAGTATATTATTTTCATTTTCATGTATATTTTAGTTTTTAGTTTCATTTTTTTCTCTATGTATTCAATATAATTATTAATTAATTGTGTTTCTAAATATAATTCGAAAGGGGAAGTTCTATGTAAGTGACTATGAAGAATTGCAAATGGTTTTAATTTAGTCATTGAGTGTATATTATTATTGTACACCAATATAGCATAATTAACTTATTTTTCAATGGAGTCATTTTTCAATTGTTTTGGTTGTTTAACAACCTTATGTGTTCGATTGGAATGGAATCATTTAATTGGCCCATTAGATTTTGGGTGTTGTGAGCTAATAAAGTGAGTTTCTACTTTGTGTCATTTTAAAAGTTCTTTGACAAGGGTATTGTTGAATTCGAGTCTGTTGTCGATATAATTTGTTTTGGTACGTTGTGGCGATTAAGTAATTTATTAGATTATTTACAATTGCAATCCCTTGACTTGACTTTAATTTATATGCTTGTGCATATTTAGTGAAAGTGTCAATTGAGGTTAGAAATTTTGAATGTGTAATGTAATAGAGTCAGTATGAATTATTTTAAAAGGTTTCGTTGGTTTGGTGTGGGTGTTATGTTAAATTTTTAGTTTTGGGGTATTCTATTTTATTATGTTAATAAGCATAGTTCACATAGGTTAATAAATGTTTGTATAGAATTACGTTAATTTGACCAACAGAGATATTTTTTAGTTTGTTGTGTGTTTCATCTAGTCCTCTGTGGTTTGTTTTTCCTTCATGAAAATTTTGATTGATTTATTTGATTTCTTCTTCATTTGTAACTTCTATCAGTTTTTCTGTTATTTTACAAAGTTAATTTTTCAATCTTTAAAGTATTTGAACAGAATTTTTCATAAATATCCATTTCAAAATATAAGCTTTCCTTGAGAATGTTATTCATCAGTCTTTGAAAAATTGCACTGAAAGGCATTTCAAATTCTATTAAATTCGTAATGTCCAAACTCTGCTTTCCCAAGCATTCTACTGTTATGGGGGTTTAATTTTATTAGACCATCTTTCTATTAAATTGGATGAAGTCTTGGGTAAATTTGATGAAATTTTAAATTTATTTAGACATGCAGGATGATAAATAAGTTTTTGTTTAAATTGATGTTTATATTTAGTAATTATAAATTATCTAAATCAAGAAGGATATGAAAGTGTTTATCAAATTTAAATGTATGGAAATTTAAATGTAGTTATTTAATATTAAATGTTTGTGGTAGTGGTATGTAAATGTATGAGATAGTTTTCTGATGACAAGCCACGAGCTGTAATGACTGAAAAGGGGAAACTCACCCTGTATAACAAGTGTTAATTTAAAGCCATAATCTTTTTATTGATCTCCTTTCAAATAATCTGTAAAATTCTGTCTACATGATGTAACTAATGTTTTCTTTTGCAGTTTTTGCACCGGATTCGAGAAATGCCAGTTCTTCTCAGACATTTCATTATGGAGCTTTTTGAAACAGGATTTGACAATTTCTATTTGAGTTTACGCTTATTAATTACCATATTAATCGGAGCTGTTTATATATTATTTCCTTCTGATGTTATTCCAGAAAGTATGTTTGGTTTCGTTGGTTTCATCGATGATTTAGTTTTGTCTCTTATATTTGCATGGTATCTCGCTTCGATGTACCGCCATTATTTAACAGGTTCGAATGAAAATACTAATTAATTCTACATTAGTTAATTATTTTATGAACATCACGTCTCAACAACCAACTTAATTGTTAGTTTAGTTTTTCAATTGTGTTTTGACAATATGATTTAATTTTTTATTAAATATAGTTTACACGATGAAGTTGAATGTTGACTGTATTTGTATTATTTATAGTTTTAAATGATACTTTGTGGGCAAAAATGTGTTCAAGATTTAAAAATTTCTACTAACAAAATATTATAAAAATCGAATTTCAACTTAAAGCATAATAAGATAATTATAAAACACCATAAACTACATACTCTCTTGAAATGTTCCTTAGATTCATCAGTACTTTTTTAATATTATAGAGGTCATGAGATTTTATTTTGTTATCAAATGTTGCCCAATATAAACCCTTGTCAAAAATTTTGCAACACTGAGATTTTTTAAGTATCGCACGTTTAGTATTCCAAGGGTTATAGGGTGTAACAAACCTTTCTTTTCAATTCAAGATTCCCCTTCGATTGGTACCAAGTCTCCAAAGAAATACAGTCCCAGAAGATGATACTCTCCTCCTACTATCAATGTCTCCATGTGAAGCACTGATTGTATCATTTTTATCATAATCTCATCTACTCTTCTATAGTTCACAATTGGTGTTATCATGCAAATTTTAGTCTTTTCAGTGTTTTGCTGTGAAAAAGAGGCCTTTTGCGGACTTTCTTGATCGAAGTCTTAGTCTTCTTCTAACTGTTGAGTTTTGAATTCCAGCGATCAACGTTTTAATGCCAGAGGCTGTTGAATTGCTGAACAACAGTCATCTATGATATTGTAAATTCTAAGACATCCTGAATTTGGCCACCACGAGTGACTCCCAGTCTTTCTGTACATTTTAATGAATTGCATACATTTTAATTAATGAAACTAATAAATAATGAATGCCAAGGTGATTAGGCACAATGATTTACCTTTTTCATAGAAAGTACTCTGACTGATCGCTGAGCGCTTATCATCGCAGATTAAATGACTCTTTATGGCACAAAATTAATGGAGTAAAGAAAATTTAAATTGCTACTCAGGGGTTACAAAACCTTGAAACCGACTGAAAAGAATGTACATGAAAAATATTGAACCTTCATTTCTTTTTAAATGATCCCCAATATCTCTCATGTAACAAATCCCCAATATCATGTAGGATTACTACAAATATAAAAAAACATGGGTATGGGTTAAGGTCAAAAAATAACAAGATTTATGTGTTGAGATATTTTTGATGGCGGTCAGCACAGTTTTTGAACATTTCATAGTTTTCCCTTACACTAATAACATAAATAGTATGATATATCAAAAGGTTCATACAAGTTTAGTAAAATAGATTAGTTGACAACTTATGATAAAAATGTAACTCATGGAGGAATCATTAACCCTACATATTATGTTTAAGTTCTTGTTTATATTACACAAAGCTTTCTTCTGTGACATTCCTTTATTTTAGAATAAATATCGAGAGTACTTACTTGAGTTTGGTGTTTTATATGAGTTAATGATCAGTAAAATTGATTAATAATTCAATTTCTTTGTATTATCTTAACAATGACACAATCTTTTTGATATTCAGTTTGTCTTCGTTGCCTGACAAAACAAATGTTCAACTCATAAATATTACTAATTTTTATTGATTTCTTTTGAAGCCGTATTGATACATTTTAGTATATGTTGTATATACTTGATTGAATTATTGAATTATTCTGGTGTCATTGTTAAAAAATTTAATATTAAAAAAATATATTTATTTAAACAAACTTTTTTTTAATGAATTATTTATTCATGGGAATAAATAGCTTTGTAAAAAATTATTGGAGAATAACTGAAATCATATATTGAAAAAAATATCTCAATACCTATGAACATAATTTTCTCATACAGTTTTACCCATATTTTTGCTTTATTATGTTTAATATTTACATTGCATATAATTTTATAATTTGATATTTACCTAAATTTTTTTCTTTTTCAAAATGTCAATCTATCTTCTTTAATATACTAGCGCAGTAGATTTACTAATAATTAAACAAATATTTGTAATAAATTAATGCTATAACTGGATGATGTGAAATTTCCTCTTGAACATTGTGTTTATTCTGATCATTCTGACTTGCCTGCCTATCTTCACTGTTTTGCCATCTTCGGTGTTGGTTTCCACTGTAGATTGTGAAACTATGAAACAGTGATAGGCATTACCCAACTGCATAACCAAAAGTTCTATAAAGTTATGGATTGACATTATAAATTTATTATGACATAATTAATTATAATAATATGGATTTTTTATTATTATTTCATAGATCTACATGAAAATGAAGATTAAACAAATATTGATGTGAATCATCGAATCTTAATAGTTTACATTTCACAATTTATTTCCTTATTGGTCAGTTTATTTTATTTTGTATTAACCTTTTTTTAAGTGATAATTTCCTTTAAAATATGTAATAAATTGTAGATGTTATACTGCTTTCTTATTTTAAAAAGTGTTTTTGGTTACTTTTCTNTATATAAAAGAAACTGAAAAGTTAAATTACACTTTATTATAACATAAATGGCTGCTTTATATTAGCGCATTGACGGCAGAACATCAGACACCGAAATGTTTCCTGAGCCTGAATTAGGGGAAAACCTTTTAAATGGAAAGGAAGTCTCCGCAGTCAAAGTGTTGCGCAAATGTATACTACGAGTTTTCTTTTAATGAAATATTTTTGTGTTTGGACTAGTCAATTGTTATGTCGTGTTTTTGATCTTTAATCTAGTCAAAATAAGTGCTTCTTGCACTTACATGTTTAAAACTTTCATTTTATATTAATATATAATATTGTATACATAAAGAGTATAATTTTATAATTCATGTCAATAAGAGAATATACATTGTTCATGTAAAATATTTTTGAAAGGCTGTAATAACACTATGTACATATTGTTAATTAAATTCTGTGATATAAATCCATATGACTGTCAAATGTGTTTTTATATTTATACAATAAACGTTAATGGTTTGTAATATAATTAGTCTTTAAATCTTATGTTCATTATGCACATAATTGTCTATTTTATCTTCAGATGAATCATCCTAGTCAATGTGTCACAAAACAATTTTAAATGTAAGAATTATCATCTTGCCGAAAAAAGAAAAAGAGTAACCAACCAGATGGGCAAATCTACAGAAACTACCCTAAACGCATTGGTACAATAAGCTAGAAAAATAATAGATGAGAATGCAATAGCACTATGCTGTTTCATGGACCTAGAATATGCTTTTGTTAACACCCTGCATATACACCAATCACAGTTACAAAATCAAGAAATAGACAGTAAAACCACAAGGAGGCATACTGTGTACACTTATGGTTGTTGGCTGACATAAGCATGCTGATGACCTAGTAGAAATAATAAAAGGCAAAATCTACTATTAGCCTTTATTCTGTGGGCTTTTCCATTTTACTTTAGGCTTGGTTAGGAAATATTTTAAGAAAAATTGGAAAAAAAAAGTTATCTGGCAATGAATCCAGCATTATGGGGTCTCCCTTTGTTATTGATGGTGATTAAACTTTCATTGCAAATGCAAAGTAATCTCAACATTGTAAAAAGGTGGTGCAAGGATATGTGTCTGAGTGTTCACTTGAACAATACCACACTAGTGCCATTCACAACGAGAAGGAAGCTTAATCTAATGGCAGCCATTGATAATGCATCTCGTGTATGTAGAAGGATTCTCTTGAGTAATAACTTAGATCACACCATATCTCTTTGATTGGAGAAATGTTAAGAACCAGGAAAGCTGAGACAAACAAAAGAGAAGATTCTATTCAAGTTAGTACAACCAAGGGATGCCCAAAGGGTGGGGTATTATCATCTCTCTTGTAGAGCCCGATAGCCTGTAGTTGATGAACGACTCGAAACTTTTACAGTTTTCATATAAAAAAATTGTATTAGTTTATATAAAAAAAACCCTTAAAAGAAGGGATCAAATATGTAACTGAAACTAGATACTCTGGGATCGAAGAGACCAGGCAATCCGGACATAACCAATGAGGAGGCAACATTTTATTGTATAGTTGAGGAACTTTAATAGATGAGAAGCAGAAAGCCACTACATTCCAAAAAAGGAAATGTGCAAGTCAGAGTGTCTAGAACACACACCCAAGAAATGAAAAAGTCCTCTACATCCCCAGAACCGCACACGACACTTCATCCATCTACTCTATCCATAGTGTATAATTTAAATAAAAAAGCTCTCCTCGTAATTTAAAAATTCATCTCAATTGGGACAAAGACAATGTGCTTGAATGGTCAGCTAGAAGATGACAAATAATAAAGTCAGGGTTTAGATGAGGGTAGAAAGAAAATTGGGTAGAAAAAGATGCATATGACACAAACACTTCTCAAATAGCTGAACTTACTATTCCCAATAAAGTAGGTAATTGTACTTTATAGAAAGAGATATTTAGAGGTTATCAAATGGACAGTTATATTTCCGTCAGAGGTTTGTCAAACTTTTAAACTGAAATGTATTTTTATAATTTCTGTAGCAAATAACGTGGAAATATGAGATGGGGTAAGTTTAACACTCTAAAGTAATACTTGAAGTATAGCTTCAGAGTGTGAAGAAAAAGAATAACCACCTCAGTTTCGAGATGTAACATGAAATGAGGTGTGGCAGAACGTAGGGCATATACTTTCTTCATAAAGAAAGTGGATTCTCTCAAGTACCTCGTAAGTCTCGAAACCCCAAATTTGAGCACCAAAGCAAGATATAGAGTAGAGCCACAGATCAATTGAAACACCTTCTATGTACTAGGGAGAGGTATTAGCTGTTTGTTGAGGAAATTTGACCACACCCTTTTAATTGCCTTTTTTTGCAAATGAAATCCTCTCCAATAAGTGTGGGATAAAAGAAAGACAGGTGGTTAAGATGATGCCTAAATATTTATGATTTGTTATTTCAACCAATTGCCGATTATAGAACCACTTCTCATTGTTAGCATGTGGGCCTCCTCTATGGAACACAACCATTTTGGAGTTTTCATGATTAACAGTAAGATTCAACTGCCGATAATATTTGGCCAAAGCTTTAATATTCAGTTGTAAAGTCTCTGGGTTACCTGCAAAAAGGCCACTTCATTGGCCTTCATCAATACCTTTGTTATTGTTCTACAGGCATGAGCATTCAAGAGCCAGATGCAAATCATCGATAAACAACGAAAACAAAATTGGGCTCAATAGGCAGCCTTGGAGCATGCCACTTCTCACCTTGAAGAAATCTGTGGTTCCATTTGAACCTTTCACAGCAGAAGATGAGTTAGAATATAAGGATTTTAAACAATGAACAAATTTTGAGGATATTCTAGCATTGTAAAGCTTCAGAAAGAAAGAAAAATGGTGTGTACAATCAAAAGCTGCTTTATGCTCAACAAAAAAGAAGTACATCTTACCACTTTTTCTTTTTTTAGAAATTTAAGCTTAATGAGGTTACATAAGGTGAATGTGTTGTCAAAGGTGAAGTACCCATGTATAAAGCCTGCCTGATATCCTCTTAATAAATTGGTGTGAGAGACAAAGCTTTCTAACTGGTGTAGGAGTAAACCCGTAAGTATTTTAGCAATCGAATCCAGGCATGAAATTCCTCTTTTTTTTTTAAATATAACTTTATTTAAACTTTTGTACATAGTACCTTACAGTTGTGGCATAATGTTTAACGACATCAAACAGTTCTTGGATCTTAAAGCTCAGCAGCTCCCCCCATTAATTATTTATACATAATTTAATCTAATTTAATCACAATTTATCACAGTTAATTATAATTAGTTATCATATCAGTGTGTCGCTTGCGCTTGAGTCTGCGGTGTGGACATGCAGGAGGTAGGTGGTCCGGTATTCCTTGGATTTCTGTGTTTGGGTGGGACTGGAACTTGCCAAACATCTTCCGGTAGCTGTCTCTCAGTGCATGGTCCACTAGAGGATTGTCCAGGTCTCGGTGCAGTGTGGTATTTCGCACATACCAGGGGGCTCCAGTTAAAATCCGTAAGGCCCTGTTTTGAAATTGTCTTAATTTGGCTGTTCGATGCTGAGGCCTAAACACCAGAGCCATATAACCATATGGGTCGAATGAGGGACATATATATTAGTCTTTTGTTGCTCAGACTGATAGTTGGGCTCTTAAGTAGTGGTTTGAGGTCAATTAGTCTGCATCGTGATCTCTTTAGCACATCGCTTATGTGTTGATGCCAAGTCAGCCTCGGGTCAAGAGTAACACCCAGATATTTTGTGTGTGTCGATTCACTGATATTCTTATTATTTAGTACCAGTTGTTGTTCATTGGCTTTTTTCAGAGAAGTGAACTGGACTAATTTTGATTTATCTGGGTTTAGCTTGACTTTCCACTTGTCCGCCCATTCAGAGACTTGGTCAGTGACTTGTTGCAGGGTCTGTTGTACCTCTGCGCTAGTTTCCCCTGTGCTCAATATAGCCACATCATCAGCAAAAAGTACTGTCTTGACTGTTCCTGGGATTTGGGATGAGAGATCACTCACGCTCACCAAATAGAGGAGAGGCCCCACAATGCTGCCTCGTGGGACACCAGAAAATATGGGCTTTGGGTCAGAAATGCTATCCTGTACTTTGACACAGAAAGTTCTTTCCGACAGGTAGGAAAGGATAAGTCGATAGTAGGTGTCCGGTAGGCTGTCTTTTATTTTTGCTAATAGTCCTATATGCCATACTCTGTCGAAAGCTTTCTCTGTATCAAGAAATAACCCCAGCGTGACTTTTTTATGTTCGAAGGCATCGAGGATGTTGTCCATTACCCTCTGGAGCTATTGTGGCCGGAGTGTCCTTCTCAGAAACCAAATTGATGATCTGGGATCAGTGGCTTCAGGTATTTCATGAGGGTCGGGAGAATTAGCCATTCGAAAGTTTTAGCAACAATGCTAAGTAAACTATTGGTCGATAATTTTCCGGATTTGATTTGTCCTTTTGTGGCTTGGGGATCATCACTATGTGGGCAAGCTTCCACTTGAAGGGAAAATAAGTGGTTCTGAACATGGCATTAAATATTTGGGTGAGCTGTACAAGTGTTTTCCTTGATAAGTTATTCAGAAGGGGTAGGGTGATCAGGTCTGCCCCTGGAAATTTCTTAGTTGGTGTTTTTGCAATCACTCTTTTAACCTGCGCAGGAGAGAAAAAGTCCGAAAAGGGAAACAGTTGTAGCGGTTGTGATAGTTTTTCCTCCATTTGCTTATCGTTGCTGTTATATGTGGTTTGGTTTGGCTTAAAGTGGTCAGCTAGGCATTGTGAAAATGTTTCAGCGTTTTCTTTCGGCAGGATTTGCCATTTATTGCCGCAAAGGAGAGAGGGTATGTGGGCCGAGCATTTAGTAAGCTGTCTGGTTTTTTCCACAGAGATCCATCTGTTGGTTCTAGAGTCTGTAGCTCTTCAGTCATGCGCTTGTTGTTTTCTTCTTGCAATGCCTTCTTTAACTCTTCCGTTGCTTTATTATAGCGAGTTTTATCTTCTGGATGTCTGGCACGCTCCCATTGTCTTCGGGCTGCTTTTTTGGCGTTGCACAGTTGTGTTATACGAGGTGTTGTTTTTGATTTTGATTTGTTCCTTGGTTGAGCTATCTTTTGGGAACTTCCTCTGTGATCAGAAATATCATTGATGTTACCATGTATGAAAAGAGAGGAAAATAAGGGAACGACTGAAACTAAAGGAAGTAGAAAGGGAATAGAACCATTCAGATAGATGGTTGAAGAGATATAATAATTTTTCACAAAACAAATCCAGAGCATACATAAAGAATTCATAAGTAACCTGATCACATCCAGGAGCTTTGTAGCATTTTAAACTGTTTATGACAAAATTCAAATCGTCAAGAGAAAAGGCAGCTTCAAGTGAAGTAGATCTGATGAAAGATTCAGCATATTAACATAAAAGGAACCTCTTCTTAAAAGGAGAGGTTAAGTAATTTTTGAAATTAGTCTCCCAAGCCATCGTCATTACATTGCTACACACATATTTTTTTAGTTTTAAATTTATTAACCAAGGACCAAAGTTCTAGAATTTTTGACAAAAGAAAATTGAGAGACCCAGGAGGAGAAAAATTCTTTCTTTTTGATATACATAAGGATTTATAAAAACTGATATAATAGTCTAACTAAACATTTTTAATTATTAAGGAGTTAGTAACACAGTCTAAATTAAGCACTTTAAAAGATCTCTTTTTGCTTGAAAGTAGACTCCATCAAACCATGTCTTTCTATTGACTGTACTAATAACAGAAGAGCTAGGTGTACGAGAAGGGGATGCAATATAACAGCATTAATTAATACATTTAACCATGCTTGGGGTTCATTTGGGAAGGACTGGATGTTAGACTGTGTGGCAAGCAGACTACATTTATAGATTCAGCAAGTTTATCAGAAGACACCCAGATTTAAACTTTAAATATTGCTTGGCCTTACATTGCGTTTCCTCAAGTCTATCCACATCACATTGATCGACAGGAAACCAATCAACAATAGCATACTTCAAATGCACTTGCCACTGCCCTCTTAACTATCACCTTAAGAAGATGGGTAAGGCTGAGACATGCTGGGTTTGTCAGGAGGAACTTGAAGCATTGGCATATATCCTTGGCGAATGTAAAGTGTTACTCCATTTACGGAACAGCCACTTTGGGAAGACATTTCTCATACCCAAGGAGATTCACAAAGAAGCACCAAGGAAAGTGCTCAATTTTATAAGGAATAGTGCACTTTCTGATGTATGGCTATAAGCTATAGGGGTTCGACAATAGACATGTTTAGGTCGCAGTGGAGGAAAGCTCAGCATCAACCCCCCCCCAAAAAAAAATCCTTTAAAAAAAGACTTCTGAAGGCTTTTTTCATGATGATTTCAAAGTGGTCTCAAAATCTAAGAAGAAGAAATTTTGGTTACTTCTGTCCGGTGGCTGTGAATATTATATTACATATCTTGTATGTATGTAATATAAATATTATTAGCATTTTTATAATTAGGCTTTCCCTGTTTATTAAGTAATAAAAAAATGTGAAAAGCTGTCCATACCTAAGAGAAGAAATAAACTGTTCACTTTTATAAATGATGTTTTTACTCACAGATTTGAATTTTAAATCTGAGTAGAACTTCATTTACAAAAAGTGAATCTACGTACTCACTCTACCTCATCATTTCTAGAAATAAACTGTATTTTTGTATCAAATCGGTACAATTAAAATTTCTCAGGATTCTTGCCTATAAAATAGGAGTAACTATTGCTGACTATAGACGATTTGAATTGTACTTTAATTTACTTGCCCTAGAGATGCGTAGTCTTCGCTCAGATTTACTTACTCTTTCCAAAATAATTAACTAGTATATTGGCAGTCATTTTTAAATTATTCAAAGTAACTTTTCTGTACTGAGCTACTTGACCAGGCATAATACACTTTTTTTTATTTACTAGCATTCTACTAACTATACCAAAAATACTCCTATTGATATGATGATGCGTTCGGTCAACAACTTTCCAAATCTTACAATTTTTAAATCTTCTTTTTCTTCATTCTATGGTTAAGTGTGCAGACATGTTAAATCTTGAACTATTTATTACGTATATTTTAAGTTAAATTTTCTTTCATTATTTTCATAACAATAAAATATCTTTCATATAAATTATTTAACTTGCAATTCTGCACATCTATGTATGTATATGTATATTTTTCCATATTTATCTTTATATTATTTCTAATTAAACATTTTACTGAATATAATTTAGCTGAATATTCACAAAATACTCTTATTTTTACTTACTTCATTAACATATTTTATGTAATTGTTTTCTAATATTATTTACACAATATTTTAAAATATGTAATATTATTTTACAAGGGAAATTTAAAAATTTAATGTAACAATCATAAAAGTGATTATTTTAGGTATATTTATATGAAACATTCGTTTAAGCATTTTTTTTACTTTTAATATTGTTTAATACTTAAGTAATTTTTTCCTTTGTTTTCTTATTTTTTATATTGTTATATTTTTATGTTGTATTTATATATGTATTTAAACATTTTTTGTAAATTGGATGTCCGTAAAATATATTATTTATCACCGTTAAGTTAGCTTGTTTTATTTCCACTTGACGGCAGGTAAAGCGTCTGTGACGTCATAAATGTACACCGAAAGGAAACAGAACAGAAGATTGAACAAAAGTACAGCTTTGGGAAAGGGGAAAATGGCGATGTTGTTTCTTGTTATTAAATCCATTTAACATTAGAGGCTCTCGTCGGTTCGAATGGTCTAACAATACGGATGTGAAACGAAATTATGCCTTTCATCGAAAAGCCCTGAGGACACACAATGACAGCTAATATGTACAGGGTCGGAGGTAAGTTATTTAAATACCGAAAAACTACTCTAGAATAACACCGGCAGGGCAAGCTTTAGCTGAGGGGGAGACAATAAAAATCATTCAGCCCCTCCTTCGTTCCTGAGCACCTGGGATTGTTTTTCCTTCAAGACGTTAAAAATAACAAAGAGCTTTTACAAAGCGGGCCGTTCAGTTTTAATCAGTGTACGTTTTGTTATTTGTAACCTCAATGGGGTAGAATCGGGGATCGTCTTTTCCATCGGGCTTTTATAATGGTCTCGTTAAACTTATTGAATAGTCTTTTTTTTGTCGATTAGAAGCTTTTTTGGAGTAAATTCGCATTTTTCCTCGGCGGCTTTTTATCCTCCAGATAAGGACGCGGCCACGCTCCAGGACCGAAGCACTCGCGATTCCTCCGTCCTTTTCGTCTCGGTCGGACAATTGGATTCACCGTGTTTGTCCCCGGCCACGTTGTTGTCTCCCTCTCAACATAAAAAAAATGTAAACAATAACAACCCATTTGCCCCATCACGTTAATATTCTTATTATTTCGTAATTCCAAATTTAAAAAAGTATGTATAATAATTTGTCTACATATAATTGTCCTGTTGTTGGACAATCTACTAAGATGTAAACTCCCCCTTCCCCCAAAAAATACATCCAAAAACCCAAAAAGTTACTATGGCGTGGATAAATGATATAAAAATATACGTTTATCATCAATTGGTGACTACATAATTAAAATTATTTCAAGCTCTGCCACCAACTTGACCAAAAAACACAGTTTGACATCTGACTTCACTTTTATACGATTTTGGCTTTGCATCAAAAGTGAATTCCAGGTGAAAGAAAAAAAAATTGAAATTTCACTTTAAAGAAGAATTAATGCTTTAACAGTTGTATGAGCAATAATTAAAAAATTAGAAAGAGCTGATGCTCTATGTGCTTATCGCTAAGCGATAAGAGTACATGCAGTGTACATGCTTAGCAACTTTTTGTGTAGGGGAAATTAGGGTTTCAACAATACAATAAATCAGAGAAATATTTCTAAACATTTATTGCTACACTTGCTTGTTTTATGGTAACAAACAATCAACGCAAGTCGGCCAATACTCTTTACTCTGGGGTGAGTATTCACAAGAGGACTTATCTTAAACGATTAGTTTTTATTTCATCCAGCGTCTTCCAGAAACTTCTTCCTGCAGCTTCCTGGGTCCTTGACAGTCAACTCTATTTGACATGTAATTGGCTGGTCCTTGCTGGGTGAGTTCCTGACGGAGTGTGGCTGCTTACTGCTCTGACTGAATTCTCTAGTTGACAGAGTCCTCCACTTGGCTCCCTCTATGAGTTGACTTGCTTTTCAAATCATCCCCTTTTTATACCGGTTTTTCACCAGAGTAGGGGAGGAAAGGAAAAGCAAAATTATTGAGCCACAGCATCTGGCAGAGTTTCCATTACACAGCCTCCTGGTCCCACGCCATTGGACGTCTGGTGAAGATGTATATCGCGTGTGTGATGTACCCCAAATTTATGGTGTCCCACAGCTGGATGGACTGTATCTGCGACAACCTTCCCACACTAAATCATTCTTCGACTTTCATTGTTTGGTAGAGAGGGAGAGAGAGAGAGAGAGAGAGAGAGGTAGAGAGAGAGAGAGCAAGAGAAAGACTATTTTACTATTGCATTCCTATGATCTCCAGGATTGTGAGAAACGTCTCTTTTCTCCCTACTGGGTGGGCGACCCATTAGATTTCCCGCCTTATTTCCAATATATCTTTGACATTCCTTAAAGTATTCTTAACTTATTTTAACTATTTCTAACAATTTATGCTAAGATGGGGACTGGCTTACACTTTCAACCAAAACCCTCCATAATTGGATTGTATTTGGGCCCTGTCAGACATTGGGGAAAGCGGACAAAATTACAAAGCATATAGGGCAGGGGGGCAATGAAGAGACTAATGAATTGGCCAAGGAAAGTTCAATGACGAGTTCAAACTGTTAAAAACATGGATCTATCAGACAATAGATTAAAAATAAGCCTTCTGATCAATGAGAATGTAGCTCAGGACAGATATTGGGCAGATAGTTCTTTGATATAGAAAAGGTCACCAAAGGACTATCGCAGAAACTAATGGCAGAACTACTAAATCAAGTACTTGTTAAGAATAGAATAATAGTACAAGTGTTAACTTGACATTGCAAACTCTGGAGGCATATAACTCCGAATGGCACAAAGAAGCAAGCGCAGATATTGCCAGGAAGAAGAAACAGAGGAACATATCCTCTGTTGGTGCAAAGGCTTATGTAGGCTGAGATTTCTACTTCTGGGAGAGCTACCAGCTGAACCCAGGCCTGAAGGAGTCCCATGAGAGTCCTTCACAAAGCTTTGGAATCTGGTAAAAAGCCCTAAACTAGATGAGGATTCTAGACTGGTTGGTTGTGGTGCACATTTAGTAAAGAGGCTGGCTCCTCCATCTTAGTCTCTAACCTCTTGGTCATATCTGATCATTAGCCAGATCAAGAATGATGGGCAGGCCAGAATGATAGGAAATGACTAAACTGCAGGTTCACCTTCCTGTAAATCCACTTTAAGGAAATTAAAACTTTTTTTTAAACAAGTGTATTTCAACCACAAGGTTATATGAACGCCGGTGCGCATCCAACACCCCTGAATTCGAATCCAAGACTTTTAACTTACAGTGATAAGCACTGTGTCAAGGTCTTAACCGTTGAGGTTACCTACATCCCCTGTTTCAATAAATCCCTTATATGATACAAACTACAATATCAGCCTTTGTGGTGTATTAAGCGTGCAATGCTTCAAGAAATAGTTATATTCAAATTGTTATTATTATTTTTTATTTTTTTATTTTTTTGTAATAAACTAGTTCCTTGGTTATGCTGGTTCTTAACAATATTTGTGTACAATTTTTTAAAACATTCTGTTGAAATTTCATTTTGCTGCAGTGGATCTGTTTGATTTATCGAAAGGTGAAGTTAAAATCCAAAACTAAAAAACTATAGAAATATTGCATGATAATATGATAAATTACAAATCAAGCCTTTCACAGTTGTACTAGCCACAATAATAATTTTCAACAAAATCATCAATGTCTCTCCTCTGGAATTGTTGGTAGAATGTTATATACTTCACTGTCTAACTCAATTGAAAGGTGCCATTCCTTGGCTCCATATAGAGAGCGTGCAGGAATGTCACGCGATATTAGAATTGTGCTTGAGTAGTATTTGGGTTCCCTGTATAAAAAAGTTGTTTTATTGTATATAGTACTGATAGTTTTTGTTCTTAGTGTGTGTTGAATTTTAATGTATTTATTAGTGTCAAAGTGTGATGTATGAGGGTCAATGGCGCAATATCAAGTACCACATAGACCATCAATATTATATGTAAAGGGTGAAGGAAGAATATAATGTACTCCACCTCCCTAACTTAGTGAATAGTATGTAAACAGGAAAGAATGTATTTAAGAATGAGAGAGTGAATGGGTTTGGATCTAGGAATTGCATGGGGTGCTGAATTGACCAAGATGTTGACAGCACTTGGAGGCCAACCTTGGTGGGTGGGGGGATGGATGAGACCTAGGTCTAAATAAATACCAACAGCTGAGGGGGTGATTCTTGAGGCCTCAGCAGGGTTGTTTTTATTTTATATTTACTTTCTAGATATCTATTTGTGTATATTGGGACTGTATTTATCAAGGTGTGGTGTTTAGTGACCGTTAGCCAATGATTATTTGAAGATCGTGGGTACCAGACCACACCTCATGATCTTAAAATAAGTCTTTATCAACCTAATGTATAAAGTTAGAGGGCTGATGTCGGAATATTAGAAAATGTTTTTCTATTTCTTTTTATAATAGTAGAAAGGGGTTTCCTTTAATCTATTTTTTGGGTAGTACTGCAGTTGACAGGTGACTGAAATCAATGATCTTGGTGTGGTATTTGACAGTGAATTAACATTTAGAAGCATGTTAAGCACGTGGTTTCTAAAGGATATCACAATCTGGGCTCTATAAAAAGGAATATCTCAGACTTTACAAATTTAAAAACCATTAAAATTATCTTTTTCAGTATTGTTAGGAGTACTAGCTACTAGCAGAGTACTACCTCTGTTTGGTTTCCTTGGAATTTGCAGACTTATTCAATCAGTTGAAAAAGTTCCAAAAAAGGTTTGTGAAATTCATGGTTTTAAGTATGGGGCTCAGATGCGAGGAAAAGGAATATGGTGTTTGGGCTCACCAGTGCTGGCTCATGACCCTTGATAATCGTAGTTTGGTCTTCGCGTATGCTTTTGTATGGAAGTTGGTAAATGAGATCTATTATTGCCTGGAGTTATTAAGTAAAATAAATTTCCTAGTTCCTACTAGAAGGAATAGAGATGTTAGTATGTTTTATCCTGAATTTCATCGAACTCATTGTCAGTGGGCTTTTGGTGATAAATTTGGCAGCATAGTTTCTGGGCTGTAAATTTGATACCTTTAAGAAGAAAAAAATGAATAAAATTGTCATTTGTGGCAATAAATAATTTATGCTGTTTCTACTAAGTTTATATTTTGTACTGTAATGTGTTAGGTACCAGATTTACTTGCATTTGACATGCTGCTTGTTGTGCTTCTTGTAAATGTTATACATATTTCTTAGTATTCAAATATAAATTTTGTTATATTAATTATCATGTAAGACTGTATTATGTATGAATTTTCCCCTGTAATGTACTTAATAATAAAGAGTGATGTACCCCCAGGGTCTGACCTTGTACTGCCAACAGCTGGGAGTTTTTCTATAGGTAAAAAAATGCTGCTGAATAAGACTAAAGTAGAAATCTTCAATGATTGTTGTCAGATGACAAAAAATAAAAATAAAATTGAAATTTCCTGTTAATAAGTCCAAGATAGACATGCTTGATGTAGGGATAGGGATAAAAGAGGAAGCCACAAGGCCTTCTGCTACTCAACCTGAGTATATCTATTGTGCCTCTCTATTTTTATAACTCACTGGCCAGCTTCACGTTGTTATTCATCCTCCATAGCCTTTCAAGAAACTGCACCTTCATAGATCCTCACAAAAACAAAATGAATTCCTTACAATATCTGTACAGTGTTTCTTCTCTCTGTACTCCTATCCGGTGCATGTGCCTTCTTAGGCGGCAGTGCCCTGTCCGGAGTACAACCAGAATCCTGGTTCTGTTTCAGTTGCCCTTCAAAAATTCCTTTGAAAGTCTTGCGGATGAATCTCTTCGTGTGTCTCATGCCTGGGCTATTGTTCCACCAAGTTTTGGTCACGCTTAATACAAGTGTGATTTTACAAACTAATAAGATTTTTTGACTGTACAAGTCTGTACAGTAATAATAACTTTTAACCAAAACTATCAATAGTTTAGTTGCAATTTTGGTGTGCCTATTCTGGCTGGTCTGGTGAATGTTCAGAAACGACCAAACTTCATGTTCATCACCCTGTAAGGAGAAACTCTCACAAAAGTCATTATAATGTGTGTCTTTAGGGTTTGCATAATATTGAGCTCGCAACACTTCAAATGTTTATAAGTGATTTACTGAAATTCATCTTATTTGAACTGACCTCAAGGATACTTTACATAATAATTAACTTTTGTTAATAGGACCAACTAAAATCATATAATAAATTAATATAATTACGGAAGACTTGGACTTCACTAATCTCATAGCTAAATTCATATATCTAATATGGTTACACGATATTTGAATATTGGCAAAAAAAGAGCGTAATGTAAAAAGGATGTAGGTTGAGATGAGGAGTTGGTGTCTCGTGGACAGAAGCCATGATAGTTCAAGTGGTAGAAGCGTTGATGCACTGATCTGGAAGTCATGGGTTCGAGTCCCACTAGAGTCACTAATTTTTCAACTCAACCATATTTTGTATAATAACTGTTACTAAAAATAAAGTAAATATATTTCATGCTTGATTCAAACTACAGTATCACTTATCCACAGAATATTAAGCTTACAACAGTTCAAGATAATGTTATATTTGAATTATTAGTTTTTCAAGAAACAACTTAAAGTGATCTGTAGTAATTCGATTTTGCCATTGTGGATCCTTCTGGTTTATCAAAAGTGAAGTGAAAATTGCCTCAAATTTATATCCCTATTTATAAATTCAAAGTAGATATATTCCATGCGCAATATGATAAATTATAAATAAACAGTCTTTCACACATTTGCACCAGCCACAATAATAATTTTCAACAAAATCAACAATGTTTCTCCTCTAGTTTTTTTCACTTTACTTCAAACATCATTTGTGTCGAATTTTTAAAATGATCCTCCAAAATTATATATACCATTGTAGAACCTGTGGTTTATCAAATACATGGTATTAAAAGCAAATTTTAAATGACCCTGTTAATGAATCAAAATTAGAAATATTTTACACATGATACAAACTACAATTGTTTAAGTTATAAATCAATACATGTATCTGTTAACGAGTCTTTAACAGGTGCTCCAGCAATAATAAACCTTTCAAAATCAATCAATTTTTTCTTCTGTAATTGTTGCTAAATATGTCAGTAAAAATGACCATGAAAAGTCATCTGTTGACATGCTCTTGTTGGAAAGATGCCATGACCAAAACGGTGGTTGTTGTCCAGAACACAACAGTTCTGAAGAGTAATGAAAATGGGGGTATGGCCGGGACATCCCAACTTCTGGACTTAACCCTGCGATCCATCTCCCTGTCGCTAAAAATGCAATAAAAACATGAAGTGGCATCGGTGGGCCGAATTGGCAGAGAAGATCTTGTGTATCAAGAGCACTCAGATAGGTGGCTCTTGGAGGACCTGACTCATAGAACAGGGTCATCATCACACATACGGACACTTAATTTTTGGCCAAACCCCGCATATGTGGCCTGTAGAGAAAAGTTGCTCCCTCTTAATTGAAGGTTCACTTTCTTGGCTCCATATAAACTGCACAAAAATGAATAGGGATATTTGTAATTTATTCTTATTCTATTAATTTTAATTAAATTATCCAATATTCTTGTTATTTGGATAAAACAAAATAGAAAATACAAACAAAAAAATTGTTAATCCTCATTTTTAATAAAGGATTAACTTAGTTAATAAAGGATTTACTTAAGAATACTAAATATGAAGGTTACTCATTTTGTAAACAAACACCTTTTCTCATCTTTCCTCCATCTTAATCAAGTTGTATTCTCTTTAACTATGGAAAGACATATTCTGCAATACTATACAGATAGAAACGCGGCTCATCAGTACAAATGTTTGGGTTGATAAAGGCCTTGCCAAAACATCTTGTACTTCATTTGCACTATGGAAAGGGTTCTGACGTGCAGCATTGACAATATTTCTGTTCTCCCTTAGCCTGAATGACTATTTCAAAGTCAGTTGAATGGAAGGTTCTCATGACAGATTTCATTCTTAAAGTTGACTTGTTAGAACATGCCTTTAATACTGGTTTTCAAGGATATTTGTGAATATTTGTGTATAACAATCTGCTGACATTTATATCCTGCAATTTTAGATCACACTGATTTATCAAAAGCACACTTAAAATCACTCAACAGTTGTATCCAACCCTGTTTATGATACAGTTTTATTATGAAGTAGTATGCCAGTTGATTACACTTTTACAATTCACTTCACTTTAAGAATATTGAACGGATAAAAGATGGTGTGTATAATTTGGACTGTATTCTGTAAAAACAAACTTTTTTTTCTACTATTATAGGTTGTTAGAGTATGTTAGTTTTAATGTATGTCGTATTGTTGCTATTTTACTTTTTAACTTAGTGTGGTGGAAGGCCTGACAGTATCCCCCTGCATTGCCTCGTAGCTGCTGCACTATTTTCCTTTGGCCTGCGCCTAGAGCAGACTTCTATTAATCTCTTTAAAGGATCCTTTAATTAATTTGTTGGCTGAGCTAAGAGGTAGTGGGGGACTGTGGTGCCGAGTGGTTAAGGCGACTCAGCTAGTAGATACGTTTCCCTCTGTCGTCTCTGGATTTTTCTGATGCATAAGGGGTACTGTGGCCGCAATGAAAGACCCCATTCAAAAATGAGTTTCTTTGATGATAGAACACTGGCACACTGGGGGCTCAATGTACATACATTTTGTTGCGAGCACCAAAAATGAAACCAGGAAGGAGCAATAAGCTGTAAAGCTCCCTCCCTCCAGATCCTGGTATCCATAATCAATATAAAAAAGTAGCGGTTGATCTGGTTGGATCTCCTGTGCATGCACACTTCTTGGCTAGTTCACCGGTGAACATCTATCTGCTTTCCTTAAATTACACATGGCTTTTCAGCATACTATAACTATTTGAAAATCAATACCCCTTTCATTATCTTGTGTAGCAAGATCGCCTGGTGCATGCCTTAATGAAAGCTTTTTGCTCTGACTGAACCACGACCCAAAATTAGATCTGGATTGTATGTCCTCTGTGAGAAATGAAGGGCCTAGTTCTTCATTTTCTTCTAAAAATCCTTTACCACATTGCCAATAGCACTAGTTCCGGCATATCCCCTCTTAATGAGGGTGTATGTCCATACAATCGGTTTCTAATCATGTAAGTTCTGGCTTGTTCAAGGGCGGATTGTATACAACAAAATACAATTGAACTGCCTCCAATTTATCTACTTCATTTAACTCCATGATAACAACAAATTTTACTACTAGTAGTAAATCTGCCTCTAAGAAGGGCAACACCGGGAATATGATGTGGCCTCAACGATGCTGTAAACATCAATGTTCTCCATAAATAAAATAGTCTTTAGCTCTGCGAACTTGTCACTAGTTAAGTCCTCCATGTTCCAGAATATTAAATTGAGCAGAATGTTGTCTGAGCCTTGACAAAGCTCAGCGCATAAATGCAATGGACACACATTTTCTCTTATCCAGAGACTAACTGTACCTATTAAAAAATCTAAACTAGTCCTTTTTTGTTTTTATTTGTCTTCCACAACAAATAAAATAAAAAAAAAGGTCTATTTGACTGTATTCTACATCATCAGCTACTTCAATGGTGAAATCTTAATTAGGCATAGATGTAAAAATTCATTTTAATCCATTCTACATCATATGAAACACACACACAGACTGGTTGGAAATATAGAAGCTGAAATAATTGTTTTTTCAGGCGTAGAGACCTCCCTACCTCTATTTTAGCCAATTCAGATAAAAAATAAAGTAGGAAAACGGAAACAATTTATATATACTCATATAACACAACAATAAAGTAAGTAAGGATGTCCTGGATTATTTTATTTATTCAACATTATTATATTTTGGGCTTCTTGTTTGTATTAGATTGTTTTATTTTACCTATTTTTGGGGGGATTGTATGAGTTGTTAGTGCATTATCTCTCTCACTCTCTCTCTCTCTCTCTCTCTCTCTATCTCTNATATATATATTGTCTGACCCCTTTTACTCGACACTCCATGGATAGTTGGATGTTGAGCTCTCCTGTTTGACAGGAATTAATTTACTTTCTATTTTATGTAGTGTGTGTAATAAGACATTTCTATTGTTTCAGATTATGTGTATTTTGAAACTACAAATATTACACCTTACCACATTCGACGGATTGAAGAATTAAACAAGGTAATTGATTTTATTCCTCTCAGATATTAAAAAAAAAATAATTTGGTGAAAATCTCAACCCAGACCATGTTTCATTCATATTTTTAAAGATGAATTGAAATTATTGGCAGTATGCAGTTTATTGGAATAAATTTTGCTAACACTGTTTCACAGTTTCATTTAGTACTTTGTTTCATCAAAATAATTAATGTAATAAGTTTTTGTTTGTTAAACAGTTCCATAAGTTAATTTTGATTTTGTAATAATCTCATGTTAATTTAGTTATAGTAGTTTAAAAAATACAATTATGTAAAGCTTGTAAATAGTAAATTAAAATTAGGTATTGTTTAATTTGCATTGTTAAAATAATTGCAGACAATATTGCCCATTCTATTGAATTAAAATAATTTGCCTTTTTTTTTTGTTAGCAGCAAAAAGTCTCAGTACGTGATACTTTCTTGTTTATATTTTTGCACTTTTGCATTTATTTCAGTAATTTTTTCTTGTACTATATAAATTTTGCCAAATGTTTAATAGTGCATTTTATCGCAATATATTATGGTAATATATGTTTTTCAGACTCCCAATGGAAACGTAGAAGCCAAAGTAATGTGTTTTTTCAGGCGTAGAGATCTCCCTACTTCTATATTAGCCGTTTCAGATAAAAAAGAAAGTTAGTAGTAAAACGAAACCAATTTATTCTTTGAACATTACTGAATACTTACTTTTATTGATTTATTTTTCATTTTTAGAAACTGAAGGTGAGCACTGGGAATTAAGACAAGAACTTTCGACAAAACAAAAACACCAGTTAAAACAGAGGGAATTGTTTTTGTCAAGACAAGTAGAAACTTTACCTGCTACACACATTAGGGGGAAGTGTAATGTCACCCTTCTTAATGAAACAGAATCATTATTTAGTTACTTAAATAAAGAGGTATGACTCAAAAATTAGTTATGTGTATTGGGTTGTAATATAAATACATAACATTTTTCATTAAAAATGATTGATAACTGGAGATGAAATGTGGGCCCATCATAAATATTCAGAGTGGGCAAAAAAATAGAACCACTGTTATCTTTATTGTCAGTAAAGACTGGATTTTTATGCAGCAATAAACTTCAAAAAGGACAACAGAAACCTCAGAACACATAAAAGGTGCCATAAACCTCAAAACATACAAAAAAAGGTGCAATAATAACCTTAAAAAATACAAAAAGGTGCAATAAAAACATCAAAACACAAAAATGTGCATTAAAAACACAGAAACGTGTAAAAACGTGCAATAGAAGTCGCAAAACGTGCATTAAAAACCTGGACTAAAATCCTCAAAATGTCCAATAAAAACATCGGAATATGAAAAAAATTGCAATAAAACCTCAAAACATTTAATAAATATCTCAAAATGTGCAATAAATCCTAGACATTAGACATATGAAAAAAGTGCAATAAAAACCTCAAATGGTGCAGTAAATCCTAGATATAAAAAAGTACAATAAAAACCTCAAAAATTTTAATAAATCCTCGAAACATGAGAAAAAAGTGCAATAAAACCGTGAACAACTTGCAAAAAAAACTTCAAAAATGAGCAAAAACAACCTCAACAAAAAATACAATAAAAACTTTGAAACTTGTAAAATGTGCCACAAAAACATCAAAACATTCAATAAAAAAATCTCAAAATGTGTACTAAAAACTTCAAAATATGCAATAAAATACCTCAAATCATCGAAACATGGAAAAATGTGCAATAAAAACCTCAAAATATGCACACAAAAAAAAAGTGTAATAAATATTACTTTATTAAATATATAAATGGTAAAAAATTTAACAAATTAATTTTTTCATTGTAATTCGACACCATATGCATCACTAAGTGTTTTTTCTCTCAGGTTATACCTTTTAAATTCACTAGTTTTCGTGGTCCGCTTGATCAATTAATATCTTTCAATTAATTAAGTCTTTTATTTGAGATAAAAAGTCAGTCACCCCACCTTTTGAATTTCCCTCCTTTTTGCCATTTTTAAAAAGGTGGGGCTAAGATGGGAAGTTTGTGTCCGAGTGGATCGAAGTCACGATAGCTCAAGTGGTAGAGCAGCGGCGTATCTAGCCTAAGGTCGTGGGTTCGAATCCCGCTCATGACACTGAGTTTTTTATCTCAACTAAAAACCTTAATTAATTGAAAGTTAAACCTTTTGTTAGGCAGAATGTGTTTTAAAAGAGAAAAGACCTCATTTCTTTTAAAACAGTTTGCCATCGGTCTTAAGTTCCAGGTAGTCCTTTAGCCCCACTTTCGAACTTCAGGTACTATGAACTTAACGGGCATTATTATTTTTTTTAGCATGGTTCTGCTTTGCTCCCAAGCTGAAGAAAGACTGAGAATGAAAAGTGAGAAACATGCAAGTGATGAAACAGAGCAGATCGGCAGATGTCAAGCAAATCAATTTATTGGTTTTAAGCATCAGAACTTGAAAATTTCAATGGAGCACATTATAAAAAAGATTTTACCCTCAATTAGTTTACTCAATGCTGTTTACATATAAAAATTAGGAATTTTCCCACTTCTTTCATTCATAAAAAAATAAACATCCAAAATTCGGATGCAATTTTGTGCAGTAATCCATAAAAACATGCAATTTCGTGCAAAATAAAATGAGTGTCAAAAGAATGTCTTTAACATGTTTCGAATTTCTGTCTTGGTTAAATTGTATTTAGAGTTAGCAATAAATAAATACATACAACTGCAAGAGAATCTGGTTTTTAATTATAAGCTTCTTCCATCCAACCAAATTGTTAATTCTGAAGTATTCGACACGTTCGAAGCAATTAAAGTCAGTGATTGACCAAAAACGACCAGTGTTGGCTCCAATGGGATTGTTTCCCACAAGGATATTGTTCACCCTGAAATAGAGCTTGGTTGGGATGGCTCCCTCACCTAGTGTATTCACCTGAAATTTCCTGTTGTGATTTTTGCTTTTTTCTGCAAAGCTCTATCAATGGGGAAAACTATTTATTTGAGTTCATTGCTCAAAAATCTAAGAAGTTTTGTAAGGACAGAATTATAAAACTACATGCATGAAAGATGGCCACAAGTGGTACAAAATGGTTCATATATTGCTTGCAAGTGCCTGAAATTTCCATGGAATTTACCATCGAAAAATCCTGCGGAGTTATTTTACTGCCCGATATTTCATGTATTTTCTTTTTCAAAATGTGGTTATTTACTTTCAATTTTATTATTTCAGGACACATTCTTTTATTGTCTTGTTTTTGATCCTAATCAGCGAAATCTTACAAATGATAAGGGCGACATCCACGTTGGACCTGAATATCAAGCTGTACCACCACCGTTGTTAAAGAAAGGTAAAAACTTACTTTATTGAAATAAAATGTAATTTTCTTTTTAAAATGATTAAATATAAAAAAAATTTTATAGGTGAAGTTGACCCTCGTTCTTTTGAAACAATTGAAACATTATTATGGACACCTGAGCACAATCTCACTGATAAACAAATTGATCAGTTCTTGGTTACATCAAGGTATTTTAATTTATATCAGTATACTTTTTTTGTTAGTACCGGTTTTGTATTTATGAGTGATGTTTGTCTGTCCTTAATTAAATTTTTAGTTTTAAACTAAAAGTTACTAAAAACAAACAATGAGTAGCTTATTTGAAACATCTAACTAAGAAAATATCAAGTATGCAGTTATTTTGCAAATATCATTTTTTATATTAATTAAAGCTGACTAAGGTAATTAAAATGTATTTAATTAACCTTATTAACGTGCCATACCTTTGATTAAAATATTTCCTCAGCCATTTTGTAGCATTTCCTAGGCCCTTAGCTATCAAAACGAATTCAATTATGTTAAATAACATTATATTTTCCCACATGGCCTTCCTCATTTATGATCAGACATTTGTCATGTTAAATTTTAATTAAAATTATTTATTTTATTTTTTTAATTTATTTATATTTTTTTTATTAGGTCTGTCGGGACATTTGCAAGAGCCTTGGATTGTTCAAGCTCAGTAAAACAACCTAGTTTACACATGAGTGCTGCTGCTGCTTCTCGTGACATAACTTTGGTATGTATAATTTTACTTATTTCAAGGATGCTTGATAATAAAGGCCATTTCATCAAATTGATATTCACATATAATTTCTAAAGTGCTCAGAAATAAGTAGGATAGATTGGAATTTACAAATTTTATTGTTCTTAAATTATATTTATTCTCCTGATTGTTTCTGTTGTACTTGTTATCTAATCTTTAAAGTTGCCTTTCATAGGTTAATAGCTAATTGATCAATATTTGTTTAAAACTATTACTTTCTTATTTTTTTTTCCAAGTTTCATGCTATGGATACATTACACAAACACGGTTATATATTATCTGATGCCGTGAGTTCACTGGTTCCTTCAACTGGGCCAGTGCTTTGCAGAGATGAGATGGAAGAGTGGTCTGCTTCTGAAGCAAACATATTTGAAGAAGCTTTAGAAAAATATGGAAAAGACTTTAACGATATCCGACAAGATTTTGTCAGTATAACAGCAAATAGTGTTCTTAATACAAATATTCCAATCTTTTGTTAACTTTATTCTCTTATTGATTTTCAGCTGCCATGGAAAAGTCTAAAAAATATAATTGAATATTACTATATGTGGAAGACAACAGACAGATATGTTCAGCAGAAGAGGGTGAAAGCAGTAGAAGCCGAATCTAAACTAAAGCAAGTGTATATTCCTAACTAGTAAGTATAGTTTTATTCAAATTTATGTATCGATAGTATATAATTTTTGGTATCACTATTTTTTTTCCTACAGTAGTAAACCCAATTCTGCATTGAACAATAATAAAGGAGGATTAGTCAATGGTACAACTGAAATGATTAGTAGTAAACCTTGTGAATCTTGTACTGGTGAGTAAAAGCTAATTGTTTGATAATAGTGTTTTAATTTTTTACGTATTTTGATTTCAAGGCTAACATTTTTGTTAATTATTGAATTATAAGAGAAATTATTTTAATTAAGTAGTAATGCCATGTTAAAGTCGTAGACAAAAAACTTTATTATATACTTAATTAATTTCCTTCCAGTCCGTCCAATGTATACATGTACACTTAATACATCACAACCTCGAACCAAACACAATAGAAACAAGCATGACATTAATACCCAATACACAAAAAAGACGAAAACTCAATATACTAGAGAATCTTGAAATATAAACAAATAACACTGAAAGATGGAAAACTCATAAACGGACAAACAAACTCACATTCACACACCACCTCCACACCATTAAAAACACCACATATCAAAAAATTAATAACACACAGATATTAACCGACAATGAAACTGCCATCACAACCGATGAATGAGCATCAAAACCACACCCACCCAACATAAGGCCTCCCAGCGATAAGCATCATACCAAATGCTATATAAACCCTACTCAGACAAAATAACAGACAGTTCCCCACTGAAGATAGCACAATGCCGAAACACATTTGAATAACTCAAAAATCACGTGAGTTGCGACAGACCCCCCCCCCCAAGTAAAGTAACCCTTTGTCAGTTCAACATGAGTTCATAGACTAACAGACCAATACCCATCATCAACTCTATGTGAATATATACAAAAAAATTGAAAGTTGAAATTTTCCAATTTTTATATTTTTATTTTGCTGTTCTGCTTGCTCAAATCAACTAGGTGAATATATCATTTTAACAGCATTTTTATGTACAATAGATTGCATTAAAAATATAATAAAATACTGAAATAATACTAAAAATAAAAAATACATTGAATTTGATTTTCCGATTGAAACGGCTGTAATTCAAAAACGGCTAAAAAAAATTTAAGTCAAAGGGACCGTTTGAAAGAAGAGGAACGTAACTTTTTAACAATGTATGTACCATAAAATTATAAAGTATTTATAAGAAAATACACAAAATAACAAAATTATTTGTCAGAAATTAACCGTTTTTTAAATTAATTAATTTTTTTAAAAGTAAATAATAGTTTGATTTTAAGGTTTGATGCAGCTATAAAATATATTTGATCATTTCTTTAAAACTAATTATCATTGATGGAAATCAGTCCTTTTGAGAACTAGCTTTTGAGAAAAATTATCTTCGAACTTGCACTAGGAATGTAAATCATGCAGAAGGTCGTCGAAATTATCAGTTGAAAAATTAATTTGCTTTGATTTTTATAATGCTAGAGTTAACCAACCAATGAAATTTTGGCGAAATTTATAAACATAATAATATTTTTGTAAACTCTAAATAATGATTTATGCCCATTTAATTAAATTTACTAATTAATTTTATTTATTTAATTAATTAGGAGAAGTTACGTAAATGAAAAACAAAAATAGTAGTTTTTGTGTATTAATTTCATTGTTCCGTGTTCTAGGACGCAGAATATTCTAAGCCTGAACAATAATCCATTACCCCCTTTTTCCCCATTGTCGGCCCCTTTCACCTCAAAGAAGCTGACTCCTCATAGAAAAATGAATTACTATCTCTGCTTTCTTCCCTACTCCTTCAAAGTCAAACATATAAACAAAAAAAAAAACATTTATATCTCCCTAACACTCTCAACACGACTCACAACCGTGACATATCTACACAGGAAATACACACTTTGAGTGAGTACAAATGCTTTGATTAAATCTAAAATTTCTACATTGTGTATATCATTGTATAAATTCATTTTCACATCTTACATGTATTTGTGTAATCTAAACAATGTTTATAAATCCAAGGCCCTGAAGATGATCTAAATAAATATCGAAACGTTGGCACAATAAAGAAAATGTTTTTCTAAAACTTACATCACACAAGATTGCATCTTACGATCTCTAAATAATCATTATTTTAACTTTTACTTCTAAACTGCTCAAAAATGGATAGGGATATTGCCAATTTTATAGTATTTACTTTCCCTAGCATTTTTATTTTATTTTTATTATTATAAATTGCATTAAAATTTATTAGTAATTATTGTTTTTTGCTGAAGGAAAATTTCATTAAGGGATTTTGAAAAATTACAAAATAAAAGGTTTTAATTCCATAATTTTGTTTATTGGACACATTGTTGTCTATTTCAAACAATTAATATCGTGTATAATGTCCTTTGTTAGCTAAAACCTCTGTACACTTGTTAGGCATACTGTTAATAAGGTCACTAATTTCATTACACATTTCTGCACATTCTAATTTGATATTTAAATAGATAAATCAACAAAATATTGCCTTTTTGCATATTTTAACAATCATTCTGTAAAGAAAGTAGGTCAGAAAATGGTCAAAACTTGGATTTGACCTCATTGTCGTGATTCTAGCATTATAAAACCTTTAGATACCGACTTCCACAGAAATCAGTGTAAATTGATTTCTTGACTAATAATTTCTATGACCTTCTGGGTGACTGACATTGATCATTTTGCTCAAAAGCTAATGGACTGATTTTGATGGTTGATAATTCGTTCTAAAGAAATTGTCAGGTGCATTTTATAACTATCAAAAATTAAGATTGGACTATTAATTCCATTTAAAAAACAAGGTTAATTTCTGACAAATAATTTTGCTATTTTGTTTATTTTCTTATGGAAATCTTATATATTTTAATGGTACATATATCCTTAAAAAGCTATGTTCCTCTTCTTTCAAATGGTTTCTTTGATGTTAATTTTTTTTTTTAAATTGTAGCCATTTCAAAAATGGATATTCTGATAACTTCTCAAAAATCGGAATAATTTTAAGGGTCAAAAAATTTATACATTTAAATTCAAACAAAAATTTATATTTAGGGTTCTCTCAGAGAATTACAAAAAATGAAAAACCACATAAAATCAACTAAAGTGATTAAAAGTGATTCTCTATTAGTAAGGGCTCCTCGGCCCAGCTCAATTAAAAAAGGAGTAACCTACACTCAAGTAGCCCGCACAGACATCCCAGAACAAACAATGTCACCGTACAATCAGCAGCACTTGGTGGAAATGAGCCAACATATCCACTGCAATGACCAAACTTTCTGAGCGGCTAGAAAGACTGGAAGCAAAATTAGTTTCAAATGATGAGCCGACAAGATCTTAAAATAGCAACTTGGAATGCAAATGTTATACTAGGGAAAAAACAAGAACTTGAAATATTGCTAAATACGTAGAAAATTGATATTTGCTTAGTAACTGAAACCCACCTATCAAAACAGTCATTTTTAAAATTAAATGGCTACAGAATATATCACACCATCCATCCTAATAACAACCCTAACGGTGGTTAAGCGCTATCATCATAAAGGACAACATACGACACTTTGAAGATCGTTCTCTTCAAACTGATGAGATCCAACTCACCGTGGTCGTACTTAACTCTGTCAAACAGAAAATAGCTATTGGCACAGTATATTGCCCGCCAAAGCACAATCTAAAGTGTTCAGATTACTGGAAACTCCTAGAGTACCTAGGCGAAAGGTTCATAGTAGGCAGTGATTTCAACGCTAAACATGTCGACTGGGGAACCAGACTGACTAACACCAAAGGCCGCAAATTAAGGAAAGCTATGCGAGAGTGAGTCTATCATTCTACAGGGAAACCAACCTACTGGCCAACAGACTGCAACAAAATACCTGATCTCTTAGACTTTTTTCTCAAGTTTCTGTCAAAAAAGTTTCTCCTAACTTCATCAAGGTAACAGAAAACTGATCTAAATTCTGATCACTCAGCAGTTATACTGTCGCTAAGTGAAAGGATAATAAAAAAACAATGCAAGCCAAAATTAGTTAATTCAACTACTGACTGGAGTAGTTTTGCCTTAAACGTGGATGCAAAAACAGTCCTTAATGTTCCTCTAAAAACGGAAGAACAATTAGATAATGAAGCAGAGGTGTTCACCTCAATCATTCAGACTTCAGCATGGTGTAATACTAGACAGACTCTCCATATAACAATTGGCTTCAACTACCCCAAGGAAATTAAAGAACTAATAAATCAGAAAAGAAAGGCTAGGAGAAGATGGCAACAATCAAGAGACCTTGCAGACAAAAACATTCTTAACAATATGGCTCAAAAACTTAAACAAAAGCTAAAAAAAACTACATGACGACAATCAGAAACTATCTAGATCTAACACCAGGCGAAGCCACTGACTACTCGCTGTGGAAGGCCATAAAAAAATTAAAAGACCAATTGCCCAAATTCCTCCATTAAAAAAAGTGGATGGTACTTGGACGAGAGACAACAGAGAAAAAGCCAAATTGTTTGCTAGTTACCTTGCTGAAATCTTCAAACCAAATGAAATCATCAATGGCAGCTTTCTTGAAGTAACAACCATGCCACAAGAAGAAAATATAAAGCTAATTTCACCTAAAGAAGTAGCACAAGAAATTAAAAATTTACCTGCTAAAAAGACTCCAGGATATGACCTTATCACTGGAGAAATACTAAAACAATTGCCAAAAAAGGGTTAGTTAAACTAACATACCTATTTAATGCTGCAATCAGACTGAAATATGTTCCCGGCATCTGGAAATTTGTAGAAGTCATTATGATAAAAAAATCAGGAAAACCGGCGAACGAGGTCAAATCATAATAGACCAATATCGTACTACCAACAGTGTCTAAATTCTTTGAAAAGTTATTATTAAAACGACTAAAACACATCGTAGATAAAAAGAAAATCATTCCTGACCTCCAATTTGGATTCCGAACAAGACATTCAACAATAGACCAAATTCACTGAGTAACGGACGTAATAGAAAAATCTCTTGAAGAAAAACAAATTTGTTCTGCTATCTTCCTTGATGTCTCACAAGCTTTTGACAAGGCCTGGCACGAAGGACTCATCAATAAACTAAAATGTATGCTACCAAAGCAGTATGTTGATATCATCAGTTCCTACCTAACTGACAGACTGTTTAGAGTCAAACAAGATCAATATTCAAAATTAAAAACAATAAATGCATGAGTGCCACAAGGTACCATATTAGGCCCACTGCTTTACTTGTTATACACCAGTGATTTTCCGAAAATAGATGGAGTAAAAATTGCTACGTTCAGAGATGACACAGCGATGATATCACTAGGACCGACTATCACCCATTCAACCAAAATCCTCCAAAATGCATGTAATAAGATAAACGAATGGACAAAAAAATGGAAAATCAAGCTAAATCAGCATAAATTAGTTCATCTAATCTGTACAAACAAAAAGGTGGACCATGTTCCGTCGCTCACAATCGATGGAACTACTATAACACACAGCAATACAGCTAAATATCTGGGAATGACCTTAGATGCCAAGCTTAGAAGAAAAAAAGGACAGAAATAGGTTTAAGTTTACAACTATACTGGTTGATAGGACGTGGCTCCAATCTTGCTATACAAAATAAAATATTATTATAAAAACAAGTCATAAAGCCTATGTGGACATGTGTATGGTATTCAACTATGGGGTTGTACCAAACACAGCAATATCAAAATCATACAAACACTCCAAAATAAAATCTTATGTAACATGGTCAATGCACCTTGGTACATAAGGAATGAGGACTAACATAGGGATTTTTTTTTATTTATTTATTTTTTTATTGGCCTATGATCTTGCATATTAGCCATAGTACGAATTCGAGTCTCTCATGCTAACCACTCGGCTACCACGGTCCCCCCAACATAGGGATCTTAAGATCCCTGAAGTCACGGCGGAAATACAAAGATTTGCCGCCAAACACCAGGCTCGCCTCAGCCAGCACGAGAATGTGGAAGCGACCAAACTCTTACATAACCGAAACATGGTCAGAAGATTAAAAATAACAAAGCCAAATGAACTTGTGTAGTTAAAAATTAATAGAGAATAGTGAAATGTAAATCTTATTGTACCAGTGGGTTTATAAGAATGTAAACATTTATTTATTCTATAATAGTATTGTAAAATTAATGGTTGGTCTAATAAGACCAGTTTTAACAAATAAATTGAATTAATAAAATAAAATAAAAAAATTAACACATAATATGAATCTGGTATTATAGTAACAAATTCATTTTTATATTTTCTTGGAATGGGATAAAAGTTAAATAATTCAAAAATTTCCTCAGAAAATATAGGCAGTTGGAGGAAATAAGTTACCCTAAGATCGTTATCGATCATACAATGCATTCTTAACATATTTTCAAAATTTAATAAAATTTCAAATTTTACTTCTAGTAAGAGGTGAGGTTTTAAATAATATTCTAATTGTTTTAATTCTTTAAATAAATTGTGACTACTCATTATACTTGGGTGCATGATTGGTAATTTACAGAATGTTAAGGAATTTTCAATGTCCTGAAGAGTATTCAAGAGCAGTTCATATAGTATCTGAATTTGGTGAAATGCATCCTTGATTTCAATTATTTCTGCTTAGTATTTGATTTTCCATCCTATTAAATTTATTTTATATTCCAATTCTTTGCCATTTGTCTGAAGTGTTTGAATAGTTTCGTTGAAATGTATAATTAATTCTTTATTTACATGGATTTGATTTGATTTTCAATATCTATTTGGTTGTCTTTAATTTGATTGATAAGATTGTCAAAGTTTTCCTTGTCTGTGTTGTCTAGGTTCCTGTAATAAATTTTATAACTGATCCAAGTCCATTAATAAGTCCTCTACGTTGTCGGTTGGTTCTGTGCACACTTATATGGTCAATTTATTCGTCGATGAGTGATTTGGAATAATTTATTAAGTTACAAAATGGTTGTGTTTCGTCTAGAATTGTTTTGTTGAATTTTATGGGTTTTGTGATTTTGAGATATTGGTTATTTAAAATGTCTACTTCAGAGATTAATTCTTTTAAGTCGTAATAATGGAATCGTGTGTTCTGAGATTTCTAATCTTGCTGTTCCTAAGCTAATCGGCAGAATTCCGTTATTGTGCGTCATGTCTTTTATCTCGTAGGCGAAGCTGGGTTTGAGCATCGTGAGGGTCCTGCAACATCATCGTTTTCATTGTTAAATTGATAAGGAAACTTTCTTGGACGTTTTATATTAGATAAATGAATATACGGTTTCGTGTTATAAGGAGATTTTTCTATTAGAGCTGTTTTTAAAATAGGGTTTTTTGATTTTATTTTTTCTCTTTTAAATCGTGGTCTCAACTTATTCTGTTTTTGTTTGTTTTTGACATAAACTATGTCTGGTATTTCTGGTAATTCTGTTTAGTATTTGCTTTTTAAGTTTCGTGGATGGCCGTTCTCTCATGTGCGTCATACCTGTGGTATTGTTCCACAAGGGTTTTGGACTCATTGAGGATCTTTTTTAAGATGTATCCTCTTTTGTGACAGGATGCTAAGCAACAGTAGGGTTCAGGAACTAGAGTCCATTTGGCTCCCTCTTTGGTCAACATATCACCTTTTCGTTACCTCTATGCCTCGAATGCCCAGGATCCCATTTTAGGGTCAAGTCATTAGTGCCATTGAGTTCAATCAGGGCCTCCATGCAGTTCCAAACGTTCTTTGTCTTCACCTTGCATGAGGCTAGGAGCTTTAGTGCTGCCTGACTGTCAGAGAAGATGGCAATCTTCTGGGTATGCATTCCTAGCCTTTTTATTTCTCTGGTGCAGTGTTCAATCGCCATAATTTCAGACTGGAAGACAGTGGCATATTTACCTAGATTTGCCGTCTGTTCAGTCTTTGGATTCATCCTGAAGACTCCAGCTCCCGTGCCCTTAATTTTATGTCAACAATGGTGTTAAGACGCAGGTGTATAGGTTCTCATTGTGGGGTTTAATCCCCAGTTTTTGGCGCAGAGCCTTCTGCATCTCCTCCAGGCAATTTTAGCTCTCTTGGTGATTTTAATTAAATGTGGATTCCATGTTAGCCGCTGTACTAGTGTGATCCCTAATTAAATATATTCCATGGATAGCCTTTTAAATGTTTTCAGATTATTGTAAATTGTTTATTTAGTGTTGACATTTATCTGTTAAGTAATTATAGACTGATTTTTTGTATAAATTTTTTACTGTTAAATAGCTACAACATCCAACCAGTGGTACGCATGGGGTCCTTCTCATATGAAATGCCGCCTTTGTCACTATTGTTGGGGGTATTGGAAACGCTATGGTGGGATTCAAATTCCAAATTCGCTTTGTGGTGGTGAGTATTGTTATAAGTTAATTTTTCCATTTATATAATTTTATGCATATTTCATTGTGGTGGATCAGCTGCTCTCTAAAAGCTGAGTAGGCCAACAGCAAAAAATTAACACAAATTTGTACCATCTACCAATGCTAGCAAATCTTATTTTGGACTTTTTGATTTATTCAGTGATAATATTGATTATTAATACTGTGTTTTTATTTTTTTTTTTTTTAATTGATACTCCTTTATTGTTGTACTTTGGACTATTGATTTTTTTTCAATCATTCAATTTCCTTTTTTCTAGCTGGAAGACATCAGTTTAAAAATTTACTACTTTTTTTTTTAAATGTTATGTACAGAATTTTGTAAATGACAAAAATAATTTTCATATAAAATAGTTTCACCTTAGAAATAATACTGACTTGTAAAGCAGACAGAATTTTAATTAATTTATGGAAAACTTAAAAATATTACTTTCCTGCTTTTCCCAACATTGCTTTGAGTGTGCAGAAGTTTGCAGGCTTTAACAACCTATTACATTATGGTCACTATCCACTATTCTATTTTGTTTTGTATTTTCTTTTGCACATTCATTTCAATAAGCTCAATTGTTTTTCTTCTAATTTTATCTGTCAAAAATTTCGGCTCTTATCTGTTATTTCCAATGGATAGTTTGAACTTCATTCAGCAGACCAGAGAAGAAAAAAATAAGCTGCCACAACAAAATGTTAATACGAATATTTGTTTATGTAGAAAAAAGTCTTTAATTTTTTTTTCTTTGGTTAATTAATTTTTTTACATACCCATATCAAGAGCTGCAAGTTAGGTAATAAACTGGTGCCTACTTTAGACTGCTTAATAAATGAAATATAGAGGTCTTCCATATGCGTAGGTAATATATTGTTTCAACATGAACAAACCTCACTTTTTCTTTCAACAATGGCTTTCCAAAACGATATTGACATTGTATTTCAGAAACATTTTCATTGTGGAGTTTATCGGTAAACAACTCCATCTAACAAAATTGTGAAGGATACAGCAGATTTAATCATGCCACTAAATTAAAGTCAGGTTTCGAGATTCAAGACTTTAATTTGGACTGGACTTTTTCTGATGCATAAGTGGAGTGGTTTGCCACAGTGAAAGTAGGGCACTCATTGTTAGGTCCTGGACCTGATTGGTTCTCATTGACCCTAAATTCGGTCCCGATCCCCTTCTACAATGAGTTTCTTCGATGGAAGAATACTGGCACACAGGGAGCTCAATGTACTCATCTGTTGTGAGCTCCCAAAATGGAACCAGAAATAAGTACAATAAGCTCTAAAGGTGCAGTGTAAGGGAGGGATGTGAACTCCTGTTCCTGGTATCCAAAAAAAAAATATATATATATATATCATAGATCATGGTTGGCTAAACTGGTTATTTATAGTTAATCGCCCAAGGGTTGTAATGTGTACAGAATATTTGTGTGTTTTTTCGTATTAATCTGTTGGATTTTCAAAAGGCACGAATATTATCAAGGTTGGCACGTAATGTAGTAAGTGAGTTATATATGTTCTGAAAAATTCTGCTGTAACATTGTAATATGGTTATTTAATTAATATTTATATTATTATTAATATTAATATTTAAATATTCGGAAGTTATGTTAACTATTTTTATATTTTGTGTTCAATGAGTTATTTCAAGACTAGATGTATATTTTCTTAAGATATTTTGTATTCTTCTTGTGTGTGTACAATTATACTTTTTTGTGTTATGTTATGGTAATATTGGTTAATTTAAACTATTTTAAAACTTTTTATCCAATCAATTTGTATTATTCTTCTTACTTACTTGATATTGAAAATATTACTATTTAATACTAGTATACTGTTACTAATAACATTATTTTAATAGAACGTATATAAAATAATACATTCTATCTAATAAGTAATTTATTTATTTAACATGTTCAAAAGACATTTACCTGCTTAATTAAGCATTAACCCTGCTGGGTTAACCCCCTTTTGAGTTGACTTTTAAAATTAATTTAAATTTTAATTGTGTAAGTCATTTAAAGCCATGTTCTGTTTTTTTTTTCTTTTGCAAAGAGTGATCAAAAAGTTCTTTCAGTTAGAATCTGTAATACAAACTGTGCTGTTTTGATCTTTCAGAATACTGAAATATGTAAAATAAATAAATAAATAAAGCCATGTAGTTACTGTATACTTTTTGTCAGTTGTATTTTTCTCTTTAATTGTACAACTCTTAAAAAAAAAAAAAATTTATGAACTGAATAAGCTTTTCAGCTTTTAACAATTAAATTTAATTATTTCAATTAATTGTTCTATCTAAAGTCTTGTTTGAGATGAAAAGAATAATTAATATGGTCAATTATGACCACTAAACATGTATGGATTAAATTTAATATTGAGTGAAAATCACTCAAATAATGAAACCAAGCTAAAATTGAGTGCATTACTGGGAGAAATGTATAACAATGTTTGACGATTAACGCATAAGCAAATATATATGAAAGAATTACAGCATGTGGCCAACACCTTTGAGAAGGAAGTGAGTGGATAAGATTTGGAACTTTTTGATCACACGTCGTATTAAAGGTACTCAGAGAAAGCAGTAATAAAATAATATTGTTTTAAACTCATCAAAATTTCGTTTCAACAATTATTACATTTCCAAATTAGAGTTTTGGTTGTTTTCATGGTTTGAATAAAAACAGAACCGTCCTCTTTAATCCAAATCATTTTTAGTTTCAGGTGGAGAGGACATCGACTTAAAAAAGAAACTGGGAAATATGTCAGACGAAGGTTTGTCCCTTTTTTACTCTATTTAGTTTTCAACAACATATCTCATTACCATAGTTCAATTAGTACCACACCGTTCAATTTTTTGCCTGAAATTAGAAAGGTCAGGGGTCATTTATTCTCGTCTTTTGGTGAATTGTTCCTGCATTCTCAATAATTATGCGGATTTATTTTAACTATGCAACTTTTATTGTCAGTGTGATGTCTACTCTTAACTATTTTATCAAGAGTTGTCATTGCTCTCCTCTCAAGAAATAGACGTCTTATGATTTCCTGGCTGTAGTCATTGTTTGCAGTAATCTTTTCACCTAGAAATGCAAAGTCTGTCACTGTCTCCACTTTTATCCTTATATTTGCCAGTTATTGATCAAGCTGATTACCATAATCTTATTTTTTTGAGGTTTTAACTGCAACCCAGATTTTGCACTTTGTTCTATCATCTTTGTCATAAGGCTCCTCAACTCCTCACTTTCAGCTATCAAAATGGTATAATCTACATATTTGAGATTATTAATATTTCTTCCAGTGATTTTTAGAAAGCCTTAGATTCCTCAAGCCGAGCACATCGATGTGTTCTACGTATGGGTTGAATAGGTAGGGTGGTCTGTTCTTACTGTTGCTACTTAGTCATTATGCAGATTCCTCAGGAGGCAGACCAGATGACTTTAGGATAGTTGATAAAACAGACATACTGTTTTTGTGAAATTTCTTCGCTTTCTCCATTATCCAGTATGTATTGGCAATTTGGTCCTTAGTTGCTCTGCCTTTTCTAAACCCAGCTTTTACATCTGGCCGTTCTCACTCTATGAATTGCTGAACTGGAGTCTACCTTGCAAGATGTTGAGCATTACCTTACTGGCATGTGAAATAAGTACCACTGTTTGATAATTTTAACATTCTTTAGCGCTTCCCTTTTTAGCACATTTATAGTCACTTATTTTAATTATGATAACAAATTTTGTTATTTGTGTTTTTTAGAACGTACTCCTACAATGCTAACTTCACATAGACCACATCGCTGTACCATTTTGGGATGTGCAAAGGTAAACAACATTTTTAAAAAAATTGAAAAAATTGTGATCTATTTTTATTTTAGGAATTTAAAGTGAAATCTCAACTTGCACGGCACTATGCTACAATTCATGGGTTGGCTGTGCGTACTGGTTCTCCCAGACCGATAATGAAAACAAGGACTGCTTTCTATTTAGCGACTACACCATTGACAAAGTTATCAAGACGTTTATGCCGCAATTTAGTTTTGTCAAGGCATGCAGCACGATCCCCGTTCTGGTCTATCAATATTCAAGCTATTAAACAAGAATGTAAATAATTTCAGTCTATCGTTTGATGATGCCTGTTGGTGAAATATCCATTATTGTTTTCCTGTTTTGATATAGGCCAAATTCAAATGGCAGGCAAATCTGCTGCCGAATTGCGAGCGTTGCTCCACTACAGGAGAAAAGAGAGAGGGAGCGTAACAGGAATCGCAACACGACTAGGCATCGCAAGAAATCACGAACTTGTCGTCCCTGAATGGTTAGCTCCCACTGATCCAGACAAACTGCCAAAATCCGAACGAATTGCTTTTCCCAAACCTCCAAAAGCTCCAGGTAATTATCAAAGAGGAATTATTACAGGAAAGTACACTACTTAGTTAATTAGAAAACATGTAATTTTTTAACATTATTTTTACTTTCTTTAATTGAACACTTAGTTGTATATAAATTTAAATATAACAATTGTGTAAAATACTAGCACTTTGAACATTTTTTCAATTATTTCATGATTATTTTGTTATTCGTTCAAAATATTAAGAATTAAGAAAAATGTGATTTATTGACTACACTTAAATTATTTAATTTGGCGTAATTGTTGAAGGTTAAAATTTACAATTTACTACTTACAATATATTATTTTAAAAATAATATATTAAGATTCCACTCTTAAAGAATTGATATGTAATTGACTCAATTAAATCTTTATTCACAAATCACTCTATTACTTACAACCTTACCATGGATTTCTTCTTTTTTTCTTGTGTGTATGTGTATATATAAACTATTTTTAAACTTTTTCATACTTCATTTAATACAACAATGTGCTTGTAAGGGAGAAAACATTGGAAAGCTTTGGCAAAGTTAGCTAAAACCGCTTTAGCTACTCATTGAATCATGTTTGGGTACTCATTAATAAATAACATTTGTTCAGCCGTATACCACCACAGTGATATAGTGTGTGTGTGTGTGTGTTATATATATTTATTTAAATAAAAAATTCTCTTGATTCTGCCATATGTCTATTAAAAATAATAATAATATCAACCAATATTGTAAACAAGTTGGAAATGTTCTAGATGGCAGCCTACTTTATGAAAGGATTCCGAATAAACCTGAGTTAGAAAAACCATTGAACAACACTCCTTGTTCTGGTACCAAACGGAAACATTGTGAAGAAGTCAATGGAATAGATGGTAATTTAATACAATGTGACATATCTTGTTATATTCTTGAATATGCACTTCTCCCTCTCATATAATAACTGTTCATTTCACTGCATAATACAAAAATATATTAATTTTACAGATGTAAGTAAAACATTTATTTAGATCCATGCGAATTGTATCATGCTATGTGAGGGATAGTGTAGCAAATTTATTTTTGTTAACATTAATTCATTTAAAGCATAATATTTATTTTTGCATTATTATTCAGATTGTGTTTAGGCATTTGCAATTATTCTTGGTTTTTGTTGTCATATTATTTTTCATTTTGGGAAGTTAGAATTTTAAATATTTTTAAATATAAACTGTGTTCTGCCCCGTTTCACCTGTATAACAGGATAAATGATGTAATTTGGTATGTTGAAGTAGAATTAGCAACCACGGCTTCTCTTTGAGGGACAGAAGATTGCACTTTTTTGACATTTTGATTAGATTTTGATTTTTACTTATCCCTTGAGTTCGTGCATCTTGTCGCACACTGGCGTACTGTATGCATCAACTTTTTTTTTCTCCCCCTACTTCCATAAAAACCCTTATTTTTATATATGTATTCCTTTTGACATTTTTAATTCTTTGTCCAATTAAAAGATTTCTTATGTTATGTAGTATTAAATTATTAATATTAAATAAATTATTAATTTGAGGAGCACATCAATATCACTTTCCATTCATTTAGAAAAATCTGTAATGAATAGCATAATACTTACTATGATTGATGTGGGAGTCCTCGCAAATTTGCTTCTTTTTGGTATTTTTCCCTGTTCTGTGCCATCTTTTCCAACAAAAATGTCACCCATTTTATCTTCCTCGTCGACTTCATCATCTTCCTGTTCCGAATCTGTTTCATGGTCACTTTTCATTACCAATTCTTTTTTTTACACTTTTACATAATAATGCATGACAGTGTACAGAGTGCTCCAAGTGGATATCAACAAAAAACTGATTCATAGCGAAAGATGATAAAACTAAAATTTGTGATTTGTTCGCAACGATCCAAATTGCATACTGAAAGGGTGCCTGGATGGATGGACTCCCCAGTACTCCCTACCATTCACCATAAGCAAGATTCGCCCAGTGGCGCACTGAGTGTGCCTGACATGTGGACTTATGGGTTAAGACTAATGATATTAGACTTTTATCTGATATTAGGGTATCGCACATTATGATGAAATGGACTAGACTGGAAACAATATATTGGGAAATTGGGGCGAAATGACTTTTTTATTATAATTTTGTTTATAACTAATCTAATAATTGCAATATTTTTGCATTAAATTATTCACTTTTTGGTTGAGGTTTGTCATTGAATATTACTCAAGTAATATTAACATATGCATACATACATACATACTTAGTTCTTAATATAACGTATAACACAGCACAACTTATTTATTTATTTCAATTAATTATTCATTTCATGTGTCTTGGTTGAGGTGAAAAAGTTTTTCGAACCCACGAAGTCACAATAGCTCAAGTGGTTAGAGCAGCGGCGTATTGAGCCAAAGGTCGTGGGTTCGAATCCCACTCATGACACTAACTTTTTCATTTCACCTGATATCTTTCATAAAAAATTAATTAATTGAAAGAATTAGAAATACCTGTAAACACCTAGTATCTAAAATAGAAAATATTACCTTTAACATTTTGTATTGTGCAATATGGGAAAAACATTCATGCGATTATACCATTCATAAACATTCGCATGTATAACAAGACCATATTAAAACTAGTGTATTCTAACTCATAATTTTAGGCATGCACATTTGCGTTTTTTTTTTTTTTTTTTTCTTCTTCTTTCCCCCTTCTGTCTGGGCTTGCAGTTGAGGTCTGAAGTACAGAGCGTTGGTTTAATTTCTGTTCACATAGCTGCAGTGCTGCAGCCACAGTGTTTGTCTGTCTTTTTTTAGCATTTCCCTCAGGCATCACTTAATTCTTATTTGGCACGACTCTGAACGCCATATGTATATTCTGACACTTCCAATTTCAATTCGGGAGTCTTGTTGCTGTCAGAAGCGCTTGCAATGGCGGTTGAAATTGATGTTGAGTTATTTATACAAGAAATAGAAAACATACCCTGAAGTTTGGAATGTTAAAGATGAAAATTTTGTCTATTTTGTTTGTAAAAATTACTCCTATTATAAACATCTATCCCATTTGGCAATCGTATGCATACTGATGGTATTTGAGGGACTTTGATTACTTACACAATATTTCACCTACTTGCAAACCAAAAACTTAATGTGTGCATTCTTTATTATTATGTCTCTTCTTGATAATGCTGAAGAAGAGTGTTCTCTTGAATCTAATTAGGGGTGTTAAGTGTTTATAGTTTAGTTTGCTCCTAAAAAGTTGCAATCATTATTCTCTTCTTATATAAATAATGGACCTAATGTTGATTGTTTTTATCAACAAGGAAAATTGTTTTCAAACTATTTTTATCACTCCTGATTCACCATATTTTGGAAAAAAATGGACATATTTAAAGTTATTCCATTAGGCTCTGCATTCATGTTAGCGTTACCCACACAATGACAGTGTACATGTATGTAGTGTGTATAATAAATTTTATTTTATTTGTTACATGCATACAGATATGGAATGGAATGAAAGTAAGTTGGTTTTTATTTATTGCAGAACAAAATTAAACCCTTCTTGAAGTAGTACAATTTCAAAAAAGTCTTACATATGACTAAAATTTATTGTTGTTGATTAACAAATCTATTTTATTAATAATTAAAAAATAAAACAATAATTTAAAAAAAGCTTTTTCAATACAAGCTAAGAAAATATTTATTATAATATTTAATATTTATTCGAAAATATTTATTATATATTTATTATCTAATTAATTATTTATTTTATTTATTTATTCGATTTATTTATACTATGTATTTATTTTACTTTCTAAATTATACATATAATGTTTATACTTAATTTATAACTATGTACACATAAGTTATTTAAATTTTGTTATTTGTCAAAAAGGTGATTCACACTCACAGTAGTCTAATTGTTCACATAATTTAAAATCATTACCATGAATCAAAAGTGACAGCGGCGTTTTTTTATAATCAGTTTTCCCCGCTAAACGCAGTAACAGGCTAAACAATACAAAATGATTACATTGTTAAGGTTGTAGAAGGTTATAAAGCCCAGTGTCTTTTGCATTTCTAACGCAAATGTAAAAAGAGTCAAGTTGCAATCTGTACTTATGTAAATATTTAGTCAAATATACTAGTTTTTCTTCTTCTAAGAAAATATCATCTTGGTCTGTCAGATGCATTTTAGCATCTTCATTGTATTGCAGGCAGAAATGACCAGTAATAACCAAATCTCTCTATTTAAGCTGTTTGAAACAAGTGATTCAAGTTAATAGTGATTAGACAGATTTCAAAACTGCCTAACTTAATTATATACCTCCTATTTTAATATTTTTATTTATTTATTTTATTTTTATGTTATTTGTTTCATTCATCTCCAAAACAGAGACTAGATCATTTAAATTATTCCTCATGGAATTTGAATAATAGTTAGTGTAACTCTCCCTCCAAACAAGATTTACTGAATAAAATCTTTTTATAGTTAATATTTACGTAAACAATATAATCATCCCTTGATTTTGTACTCTAGTGTTAGACTAAAAATACCAAACCATGAACTGTGGTGAAGGCATGTTTACACAACAGGTGAACATTATTTACAGATAAGTTTACATATTTTAGATTTTATACATCCTGTTTTGTCTCTAAGCTTTTATTATTGAAACTGAATATGCCTAATATTTTACAATTAAAATTTAAAGATTTTTTAAGGAATTATACATACTTATAAAATTGTTACTGTATACAAGCGTAATTAGTGATTTATAGTTTTATTATAACGTGGCATATTATAAATAATATGTTATAAAGTTGTACAGTGTTGGGTGCTTTTCTCATATAATCCATTTTTTTAGGTATAGGGGTTTTGTCAGTACATGAAAGCGTACCAAGTAAAAGAATGTCCAGAGATATTGTTGGTGGTGGTCCTATTGGTCCTAGGACGATTATAAACCATTTGAATGGAAAAGCCCGTGTTACTACGATGTCAAGAACTGGAAGAAAACAAGTCATATCTTGGATGGATGCTCCTGACGATGTTTATTTCAGATCTACTGAATTGACAAAGTGAGTGTTCTTATGATTGCCTCAAGTATCTATGAAGGGTAAAACATTATCCTATTTAAAGAATTGCATGTTTAACACTAAAAAGGCTGGAACTTTTTCTATCCCTAGAATTGTTGCCATGGGTCTATAGACACATTATATTCCATCAAAATCGGTTTAGTAGTTTTTGTTTTTATGATTAACACACATATGAACATTCATTTATATATTCGCGCGCGCGCGCGTGTGTGTGTGTGTGTGTAATTTCAATATTAGCATTTATTACAATTAATTACGGAATTCCGCTCGTGCATTGAGTTTTTTATCTCAACTAAAAACCTTTATTAAGTATAATATATTAATTGGTCAAGCAGACCACGAAATTAGTGAATTAGCATTTATTATATATAATTAAACTGAGATTAAATTAGATAACCCATAAGGTTGTTAACACATTGACTGTGTCCTGTGCTTGGCCATTTTGGTTGCTCACGACAGAACGCAATTTATCATATAACCCCTCTGGTACTTAAAAATAATGTAATTTTTTTAATTTCATTGCTTTTGTAAACAAAGTAGGCAACCCTTAACACAGGATGTTTAGTTGAATAAAAGTTGTTTATACTTTCTTTCTATGTTCTACAATAATTTTATGTAATCATACAAAATGGATAAATAATTAATTAAAATAATGAAACACATACACAGAAAAGCAAAGTACATGGTTTTCATAAAATAAATTTAAAACAATCACTTCCAGTTGAAAAAAAAAAATTGAAATGTCTGGTGTTCCACATAAAAATTCATAACTACTCTGGATTTTATGTAAACCTGTTGGAAAGCTGGATTGTTCTATTGCCATCCAATGTCAATAAGTTAAGTATTTTGTCATTTAAAGAGATAAAAATAAGTATGAAATCTCAACGTTTTATTTTATATTCCCGGTTATAATTTATTTACAGAGATGAAATTTGTGCCATTATATGTAATTCATAGGGTTCTAAAGCACTAAAATGACATTTAGATCAGTGGAGTTGTTTCAAATTTATCACTATTTTTGTGATTTATGAAAAAAATTCAGAGATAAACAAGGCAAAAATTTGAGGGGGACAAACCAAATATTAACTTAGTCTCTTACTAAAAATAAATAAATAGGCTACTGTGCAACATAAGTCATAAATTATGTATTTAAATATCTACAATTCCCATGCTATGACAAACTGCAAAATATAATTTTGAAATAGTGGATTTCTCTTCTTTTAGACTATCTCAAGAAGCTATGGATTTTATGTAATATGAGTGAGTTACTTATGAAAGTTTTATTTTTTATCTTTAATTCTAACTTATTTTCAAAGGCCAAAATTGTGCCATTATGTAGGTTTTTAGGGCTCCAATTTTTTTCATGTATCTCAATAGTCATTTAATTTATCACCATTTTTGTAAAAAAAATTTAAAAATTAAAAAAAAATTCACAGGCAAAATTATTGTTTTAATTGTCCTAAAAGTTTGTATTCAGGATTTTTTGGTGTGCAAAAAACTAATAACAATTTTTTTCTTGTGAAAATAATTTTTACCTACTTTGCTAGGTCATTATGTCAAAATTGTATATGGCTGCTAATCATAGCATGGTATTGTAGATATTGAAATACATCATTTGTGACCAAGCGATGTTGCAAAGTAGGCAGGCGAAAATATATTTTCTAGTAAGAAATGATGTTGATATTTATTTTGTACCCTCAAAATTTTTGCCTTGTTTATCTCAGAATTTTTTCATAAATCACAAAAATGGAGATAAATTTGAAATGACTGCTGATCTACATGAAACATTTTAGTGCTTTAGAACACTATGAACTACACATATTGTCACATGCTTCACCTGCGTAAATAAATTATAACCGGGAATATAAAATAAACCTTTTGACATGTTTTTGATTCCGTACTTATTTTTCTCACTTTGAATGACATTGAATGACCCTGGCTGAGCCAGCCCAAAATGTTCAATCTTTTTTTTTTTTTTTTTGCTAAAAATTAAAGGACTTTAAATAGTGCTTGAAATGAATCTTGAATTGCTTTTTTCAATAAGTATTTTCTCCTATTATATGGGATGGACATGTCTTCATTTTTGTAACTTTCATAAATCTAAACTCATTTATTACAATTCTGCTTATTATTTTCTTTTCCTTGATTAAAAAAGAAAATTGAATTCCTTAAAGTACACATGCATAACAAAGGCAAAAAATCACATATCAAAAAAGTAAATTATGTATGTAATTTTTTCTCGGCTCGTATATGTGAATAATATTTTTCAACCTATAATCACCAAAAAAGTTATTTTAAAATTGGTCATCCTACATTCTTAGCATACTTTTGTTAGATATTGAAGGTTGGTTAGTTAAGTAAGATGGAAAAGTGATGGAAGGGATAATCTTTATTAATATTGGGTGTTTTTTTTTTTTTTTTTTTTTAAA